AGCCTGGATCCTCTACCAGTCTACTATACTACTTGGCCTTAGTCAGTCACAAATCATTCATCAGTTAGAATAAAATTATCAGGGTGTGACAATGGTTGTATCTACATGGTTGAACTCTGGGTTACTGAGACGTCTGTGCTCACCCCAATTATTTAACATTTTCTAGGTGACAATCCTTATAGGGAGCAAGAGAAGGTACTAGAGGAGTGAGCTAAGAGCTCTTACGCTTCTCAAGTACATGCTGAATTAATTTGATTCTTTACTATTTGCCATGACCCTAGAACATCAAATCATTATTTTGTTAATTCCTTGAATGGATAGATTTTAGCGTTTCATTTCAAGTTTTATCCACAGTTTATGTTATGTTAGACTTTGAGACTGCAAGCTTGGATATTTATGCTCAAATTATATTATGGGTTTAATTGCTCATATTTATTTGTAGTGGTTAAAAGGCTGAGTCTTTCAGTATAAACTTTATTATTGAGACCTTAAGATCAAACTAGTTTTTACATGGTATTTTAAGTAGCTTAGAAAATTGGGTGTTACATTTTTGGTATCAGAGCCACAACGTTCCATGGCCTTTTCTATTTTTATTTTTATTGCTATTTTCTACTAAGATCTAGTTAGAGGTTATGGCAAGTAGATATCAGCATGTGCCCTTCCCTTCCCCTTGTATATCCTATTACTTTAATTATTTCTCTTCTTTTGGCTAACTTTAACTTGTATGGTAGCCTTACATAGGAGGGGAGAAGAATGGTGAACACTAGACAAACTATATGACTAACCAACACAAACCCACCTTCATCACCTCCCTAAAATCATTCGTAGGGCAACGATGTCATTTTGAGGGAATTAAGAGATGCAATCCAAAACATTAGACAGATATTGAATAAGCATGAAGAACAACTAGCTGCAATGAAAGAACAGAGTAATAGCCCTACCAAGGGAAAAAGTCCTCTTATCGATGAACCCAGTGATCGCCATTCTGCCGGGGGCTCCAAGCATAAGTCTGGCAACAGTACTAACAAGCTCTCCCAACCTGAACTTGCTAAGATCACTCAAATTTGGGAGAGTTTTTGAAAGTTTAACCCTCCAATATTTGAAGGAAAACTCAACCCAACTGAAGCTGAGGAATCGGTGAAGCGAGTGGAAAAGATCTTCAAGATTGTCCAATGCACCTCCCATCAAAAGGTGCGACTAGCTGAGCAGTTGTTATAAAAGGCAGCCTAGCAGTAGTGGGATAATATGAAACTGGATGATGATGCAGACATTACTTGGGAAGAATTCAAAGATAAATTCATGCAACATTATTTCCCTCCAGCTATTAGAGCTGTGAGACAGGCTACATTTTATTCTTTTAAACAAGAGAATCTGCATGAAGATGAGTTCATTGCTCACTTTTTGGAACTGTCTAAATATAGCACTTACCTTCAGGAGTACCATAATCCAAAATGGATGTGTGAGCGATTGCTGGAGAAAGCTAGGCCAGAATTGAGGACAGCATTGGCACCATTTGAGATAGAGGACTTTGAAAAGTTATGCACTAAGTTGCGCATCACTGCTAGAAGGATGAGGAAAGAAGAAGTAGAAAAGAGGAAGGAATCCCAAGGCAAGTATGCCTCTTTCATGAGACCTACTGGGGGTGTCAGTAAGAGGAACAGTTATAGTGCTGGAGGATCAAGTAAGCGACCCTAACAACCTCCAAGGAGCTAGTTCAATGGGCCTCCAAGAAACCAATTCAATGGACCTCCAAGGAATCAATATAACAGACCTTCAAGGAGCCAGTTTATGGGAGGACAAAATTCTGCCAAGGGTTCTTTTGCTCCTACCACTAGTACAGCAAATAGCTAAAGGTGTGCCAAGTGTGGGAGGATGCATTCGGGAAGCAGGTGTTTAATATTCTTTAGGTGTGGAAAGCCAGGCCTTGTTGCTAGATTTTATGAGACTGACTCATCAGGAGCTCATGAGAATCAAAACATTGTTCTAAGCAGGGTGTTTGCAATGACCCAACAAGAGGCGAATGGAGCACCAAATCGCATAAAAGGTACTCTCAAACTCCAAGGCTCTAAAATTGAAGCTCTTTTTGATTCTGGGGCAACCCATTCATTTGTATCTGATAATTGTGTGCTGCAATTAAAATTGTGTTTATAAAATGGCTTATGATATGATTGTCTCTACACCGGCTGGAGCTTTTGTAAGAACCTCCCAGACTACATTAAATTGCATGCTTGAGTTTGATGGTAGAATTTCACCTATCGATCTAGTTTGTCTACCCTTATGGGGTATTGATCTCATAGTGGGAATGGATTGGTTATCTGCAAACCATGCCATCCTTGACTGTAAGAGGAAGACTGTTTCCCTACCAGCTTCTATGAATCTTTCTAGTAGACTAAAACTATTATCATCTGCACAAGTTAAGAGATGTATTCGAAAGGGATATGAGGTTTATATGGTATTCTTCTCTATTCAAACTGAAGTGGAAGAGGGAGTTGAAGTTATAGCGATAGTAAGTGAATTTCCTGATGTGTTTCCTAAGGATATTATAGGTTTGCCCCTAAAAAGAGAAGTAGAATTTGCAATTGACCTTGTGCCCAGAACAGAGCCTATTTTTAAAGCTCCTTATCAGATGGCTCTAACAAAATTAGCAGAGTTAAAGAAGCAAATTGAAGAATTAATGGAGAAGGGTTTTATAAGGCCCAGTGTTTCCCCTTGGGGATTACTAGTACTTTTTGTAAAGAAGAAAGATGGAAGCATGAGATTATGTATCGATTATCGCCAACTGAACAAGGTAACTATAAAGAATAAATATCCTCTACCACGAATTGATGATTTACTTGACCAATTGAACGAGTAGTAGTAGTTTTCTCCAAGATCGACTTGAGATCAGGTTACCACCAGTTACGAGTCCGAGCTGAAGATATCTCAAAAACTGCATTTTGCACTAGATATGGGCACTACGAGTTCTTAGTCATGCCATTTGGGTTAACTAATGCCCCAGCAGTCTTTATGGATTACATGAACAGGATCTTTAGGCCCTATTTGGATAAATTTATAGTGGTTTTTATTGATGATATCATTATATACTCTAAGGACAAGAAAGAGCATAAGGGGCACCTTAGAACGATACTACAAGTATTAAGGGAGCATAAGCTCTATGCGAAGCTATCTAAGTGTGAATTTTGGCTCAAGGAAGGTAAGTTTTTGGGACATGTTGTGTCGGCAAAAGGGGTGTCTGTAGACCCTAACAAGGTTGAGGCAATATTGAATTAGGAAAGACCACAAAGTGTGACCGAGATCAGGAGTTTTCTAGGTTTGGCAGGTTACTATAGAAGATTCATTAAGGGATTCTCACATATAGTCATGCCTTTAATGAAGCTGATAAAGAAGGATTATGTATTTCTTTAGACCAAAAAGTGTGAGGTAGCATTCCAAGAACTGAAGACCAGATTGACTACAGCACTGTGCTTGTGATCCCTGACCCCATACAACCATTCACGTTTTACATAGATGCTTCAAAGAAGGGTCTTGGGTGTGTGTTAATGCAAAATGGTAAGGTTATTGCTTACGCCTCAAGACAACTAAGGCCACATGAGGAGAATTATCCTACACACGACTTAGAACTGGCAGTAGTGGTATTCACTCTAAAGATCTGGAGGCACTATCTTTATAGTTCACGATTTGAAGTCTTCAGTGATCATAAAAGTTTGAAATATCTGTTTGACCAAAAAGAACTCAACATGAGATAAAGAAGGTGGATGGAATTTTTGAAAGACTATGATTATGAGTTGGAGTACCATCCTGCAAAAGCTAATGTTGTTGCAGATGCTCTAAGTAGAAAGTCTATCCATGCAGTTCAAATGATGGTTCGAAAGTAGAGACTACTGGAAGATGCCCAAAATGTCCCTATTAAGATCTTTGGGTTGGGCGCTACTATAGAAGCATTAACAATAGAGATGGTGACATGGAAAGAAATTAAGTTTACACAACTAGAGGATGAATTTTTGTTAAGAGTTAGAGAAGAAGTTGAGGAAGGAAGGGGCGAAGACTTTGAGGTTGGCAATGATGGGCTCCTACAGTATAGAGGAAGAGTATGCCTTCCTAATGATGACAGGCTAAAGACACTTACATTGGGTGAGGCTTATAGGAGTAAATACACCATCCATCCTAGGGCGACTAAAATGTATCATGACTTGAAGAATGATTGGTGGTGGCCAGGAATGAAGAAGGAGGTAAGTGATTTTGTCACTCACTGCTTAACGTGTCAACAGGTTAAAATTGAACATCAAAAACCTCTAGGACCATTACAAAACATAGGCATTCTGAAGTGCAAATGAGATAGCATTACTATGGATTTCATCATGGGCTTACCTAGAACCCCTTCAGGGCATGATGCCATTTGGGTAGTCATGGATCGTTTAACTAAATCGGCTCATTTTCTACTTATCAAGGCTAACTACCCATTGGATAAGCTCGCTCAGATTTATATGGATGAAATAGTTAGGTTGCACGGGGTACCGGAGAGTATTGTCTCAGATCGTGATCCACGTTTCACTTCGCAATTTTGGAAATCATTGCATCACTCTTTAGGGACTCAGCTAAATTTTAGCACTGCTTATCACCCTCAAACTGACAGACAGTCTGAGAGAACCATCCAAACTCTTGAGGATATGTTACAAGCTTGTGCAATTGAGTTGAGAGGAAGCTGGGATAGTCATCTTACACTTGCCGAATTTGTGTATAACAATAGTTTTCATTCTAGCATCCAAATGGCACCATACGAAGCATTATATGGAAGGAAATGTAGATCTCACCTTTGCTGGACAGAGTTGAGTTAGAGAAGCATATTGGGACCTGATTTACTAGATCAAACCACCCAGAAAATTAAGTTAGTTAAACAGAAGCTACACATGGTTCAGAGTAGACAGAAAAGCTATGCTGATAGGCGGAGATGACTGTTGGAGTTCATGGTAGGTGACTATGTTTTCTTAAGGGTCACACCGATGATAGGCATTGGAAGATCAATTAAAGCTAAGAAGTTGACTCCCAGATTTATGGGTCCCTATGAGATTCTCGAAAGAGTTGGGCTGGTAGCCTATCAAATCACCTTACCTCCTCTTTTAGCCAATGTCCATAATGTATTTCATGCATCACAATTGAAGAAATATCATACAGACCCCTCCCACATCATTGAACTCGAGGAGATAGAGATTCGGGAAAATATGACCTACAACGTTGAACCAGAAAGAATCATAGATGCTAGGGATAAACAATTAAGAAACAAAACCATTCGAATTGTTAAGGTTGTATGGAGGGGAATGACCTCAGGTGATGCTACTTGGGAAACCGAAGAAAAGATGAAACAAGAATACCCCCATTTGTTTTCTTAGGTTTGTGTTTAAATTATATGCTTGTGTTTGTTTGATATGTTGTTCTATTTGTAATTGTATGAATTATATGAATTACATATATATGTATAATAATTAGAGAGTGTAGATTTTCTTTTATTATTTAAAAGGTATCCAAAAAAAAAAGAAGAAGAAGAATTAAATCGGAAAAGATAAGTTTGTTACGTGCAGTTATGGTAAAATACATGTAATCATAATAATTATATAAAAAAAAAGTTAAAACGGTTTTACATATATATATATATATATACACACATATAAACGGTTTTTACACGCACACACACAAATATATATATAAATCAAACATCTTGATATCTTTGATGTTAGTTTGAACAGCAATTTAAATAGGATAAATAAATAATAATAATATGAAATAGATTGAAATTCAAAATTTGAATTGTTATATGAATTTTAATAAAATATATATTTATAATTATATATATAAAAAAACTTTCGATTGATTCTAATAGATTTTATTTAAGTTGGTTATTTGCTTAAGTTTAACGAGATAAGGCTTAAAGGATGGGATAAAGATGGGATAAAGGCTTAAAGGAAATATATATATATATATATATATATATATATTAAGGACGCATAAGTGGTAGGAATCGGTGGAGTTTTTCAATTCTTAGTTGACTGTTTCCTTAAATCATTTATATAGAGAATTATATATATTCGCATAATAGGTTAAAATAAATAAATAATGGGAAATTGTGTGAACCAAATATATGCATGAAATCGATGGGTAGTTATGGATAACTATGAATTTAAAAGGTCTCTTGACAGCTTTAAAATAATATTTGAAATCAATAATATGTAAGCGATTTGTGATAAAAAAAATTTAAGAAGACTTAGTTATGGGCATGTGGCGTGGATTTAAAACATAAACAGCTTTTAGAAGGAAAAAAAAATCTTAGAGTAGTTTTATTAAGATAGACTTGAATAGCTCAAATTATAATCTGACTTGGTATTTGTGTAATTTTGTAGACTCTCACTGAGAGCCTTATTGCTTGGAATTTTGTTTCACTACTGACGAGCAAAAAGAGTCGGGGTAACTTGGGGTTTTTTCTATGTGTATGCAATCTTTATCCGTCATGATTAAATTTGTATTGACTCTATCGACTTGATTGGTACAAATAAATAGATAAGACTAAAAAGATGAAAGAATAAAATTGTATTATCTTCTATGTTATTTGAAATTTCCTTTAAGCATGAATGCGTGTTGGTTATCTTCGTGAAAATTTATGGTAATTCATTTTCTTTCAAGCATGCTTACATGTACTGGATTTGTTATATATTTATGACATGCATAGGTAGTTGCACTTGGGAGTTTATGATATTGATATATGTGACAAATTGTGACCATCTGGTTTGCCTCCACTAGTGCAAAGTGGTTGGCCTTTTTAGGGCCCCATTCCTTAATACTTACCTGGCTCGGTTTGTAGAAGGGGAACATGGGATAGTGACACCTCCTGGTTCTTTTAAGGAGGGGAGCCATAGTCTAGGCTTGGGCTTTGTATCTTTGGCCAAATACATCCTAAGTACTGGAGTAGCTTTGGTCAGTCCAATGTGTAGGCTAGACCATGTATAAGCCTATAGTTCCAGTCAGTGGAATAAGGTTGGATGGAGCAATAAGGGAGGAAGCATCCATTGCATATGAACATGGTATATTATTAAATTAGTTACATATTTTGCTAATGATTATTTAAGCTGTTGCAATATCTGTTTGCCTAGTTAATATGAATATGTTTGGGTAATGGTTGTATCTACATGGTTGAACTCTGGGTTACTGAGACGTCTGTGCTCACCCCAATTATTTAACATTTTCCAGGTGAAATCCTTATAGGGAGCAAGGGAAGGTACTAGAGGAGTGAGCTAGTAGCTCTTACGCTTCTCAAGTACATGCTGAATTAATTTGATTCTTTACTATTTGCCATGACCCTAGAACATCAAATCATTATTTTGTTAATTCCTTGAATGGATAGATTTTAGCGTTTTATTTCAAGTTTTATCCACAATTTATGTTATGTTAGACTTTGAGACTGCAAGCTTGGATATTTATGCTCGAATTATATTATGGGTTTAATTGCTCATGTTTATTTGTAGTGGTTAAAAGGCTGAGTCTTTCAGTGTAAACTTTATTATTGAGATATTAAGATCAAACTAGTTTTTACATGGTGTTTTAAGTAGCTTAGAAAATTAGGTGTTACAACTCCTGCCAAAAAGGTCTAATAGCCTCGCCATTCCAAGCTAATTCTAGTACTTTTAGACCCAAAATTAGGGATATTATTCTGGGCATGTGTCACTCTCCTAAAACTTACTAGCCATGAAATTATGAATTTTACTTAAGGTCTTGCCTCACAGAATGCTACACCTCTCCACACATGATTCCAACTTTTAACCAGCCTCTAAACACTGCGTTTTGACCTCTAATTCAGGATTTTTGCTGCAACTTCCTAAATTTATCCATCCTTCACTAGTAATTTCATAACTGAGAAAGAATCCTTTCAATCATGCAATAATTCATCAAAATCTCATAGTATCATCTCTTATCGAACACTGAGAATCTAAAGTCAATTCAACATGAAAAACATATTAATTCAATGTAAAATCACATTATTTGGCTAATTAAAATACGGTTTTATTAGTAAACGTGGATGGAGCCTATTTAGAAACCCATTCAAGAAGTGGATGTGGAGGTTCCTCGGTGGCTTTATACAAATCCGAGAACAAGGGGACAATTTACATGTGAAGTTTTAGGCACTTTGTTGGCCTCAAGTTCACGTGGGACAGATAGGTTCGATAAGTAAACTTATGTTTAGATTCTTTGGGAACTGCCAACCTAGTTCATCAACCTCCTAACCCCAGCATAGCAAGTACCCTTTGATATACGATTTCTTATGCATGCTAGCAAGACAATGGCAAGACCAGGTAGAACACAGTCATTCACTGCTAAGACCTTCATTTTACTCTAAATGAGGATGTGGTTGATTAGGGGTGGCAATACAGGCCAACCTATAAGTTGTGAGTTGAGCCTATGGAGTACAGACCAGAACAGTTCATTCGCAGGCAAGTTGGTTTTTAGCTATAGCTAACGCTAACCCACCTTTGTCTAACCTACCAATAATTATTTGCTCTTTTTAATTTTTAATTTTTTAAATATTTTTCCTTATACAATATACAAAAAATATATATAATGAAGATTTTGTTTTTCCTTTAAATAGTTAATTGAAATCACCAAACAAGATATAACATAGAAAAAATTCCCAAAGCAAAATGTCTATTGAATTTCAATATTCCAAATCAGTCTTGTTTACTACATTTAAATAACAATTGATTATAGTTAAAAAGCAAATGACAATACATTTTTGCAATAATTCTTGATTTATCATTTAATAATTTTTAGGATATTTTATTGTTTTTTTCCCTGCAACGTATAATAATATAAGGGATAAAGTCCATTTTTGTCCCTTAAGTGTTCGCTTAGGAGCCGAGTATCCGGAAGTTACCAAAAGGTAGCAATGTCGCCCTAACTGTTACCCACTATTAAATTGCACTGTTAAAGACACATGGCACACTATTGCTTCTCTTTCTCTTTCCACCTTATCTTCTTCTTCCTCTCTCCGTCCTTTACTCTTAATATCGCCGACTATCATCCCCCCTTTCTCTCTCCCTCCTTCATTCCCGTGTTCATTACTTACTCCTCCTCCCTCTCCCCCTCTTTCACTGTCATTTTTGTGCTTTCCTCTTTCCTCTATTCTTGGCAAAGTACAATTTCTTTACTGCCGAGAAGGTAATAAGCAAAGAAAGGGAACCCTCATGGAGAGAGAGAGGAACCGATAAACCACGACCTAGATCAACAGGGCTTACAAAACCTCCTATAAGCATGTTTCAGGTAAACCGAGATAAAACTCTTCTCACATACTTGTCTCGTATTTCGTAAATCATTATTAAAAAGCTACTTATAAGCTATTCCAAACAGGCACTAATATAAATCTCCAAGCCATAGTTTGAGCTAGAACCATGACCTCTTTCCCTATTCTAGATCTAAACCCACAAACCTAAAATCGACATTCTTTGAAGTCGAACACACGTCACCACCAACACTCGCATGCTTCTCATTCTTCCCTTGCCTTTGCGGTGACCTGGATTTATAAAACATCAGCAATCGTAAACACAGGTCCTAAAGGAGTTCCAAATGACATGGAACATCTGGCCTCTTCGATGCAAAACACTCACGTGTTTCTTGTTCTTCCCTTCGTTTTCTTGTTTTTCAATTTTATAGTTCATAAGTCATCTCTACCATCTGTGATTATCACTTTCTAGGCTTCAAAGATTTCTATTCCCCACTCATTTTTGGTTCATCTTTCCAGTTTCAATCTACGTTTTGGTTATGCTTCCGCTATTTTTTTTTTTTTATTTGGGAATTCAATTTGGGTTCATACCGGAAACTTGGAAGTAGAGAAATTTGATTGTTATTATTAGAAGAGAGAAAAACAAGTTAGTTTAGTCTCTGATGAAATATGATTTATTTAATTTGTCAACAAAATCATGTTTTCCTCCAAAGATTTTCAACGGTGTTGGAGACTTTGTCGGAAAAGTTGCTATTATAACTTTTTGAGTATTCATATTGGCTGGTGATGAGTGTTCTTTTTCGCAATGATGCTCCAAGTAGCGGAAGAGAATATTTTTTATGACAAGTAAGAAGACAAGACTCAAATGGTTTGAATGCCTGACGTTTGATTGTTGTTTGAGTGGGAGATGATGAATCGCGATGAACATGAGGCAACCTAAAAAAGTTTTCTAAAAGTAAGCACTTCCGGGGCAGAAATAAACCTTATCCATAATATAATTAATTAATAAAATTGAAAAAATAAACACAAGTGGTAGGCCCGATGGTGCAAGTTAAAAATGCTCATTTAATAACAAGTTGGCAGGTTAAACTCACATAGTACTAGCTGATGTCAACATAGGCTTGGCATTAATGAAGGCCCATCCGTCTGTTTGACACGCTTGTTGCAACCCAAAAAAAAAAAGAAAAGAAAAACTGATAAATATATATATAAATTAAATTAAACCCGAGTAAATTAGGAACTCGGGACATGAAGCCTCTTGGCACATTGCGTGAGATATCAAACTATCAATCACAAGTGAAAAATTATTGACAATTGGTAGGAAAAAGTAAAAAAATGGGATAATGATAATATGGCGGTTATAACAGTACGTCCAGTGTTATGTGGTACTGATAATTGTAAATGGACTGATGCAGAATATCAATGCCCACGACAACAAAAATTTTGGAAAACCTATTCACTGGGACTTTTTCTTGACCAACAGCAGAATAGGAAAACCACATGATTATCTACATTTTCTGACTTCGTTGATTCTAACTAGTGAGTTTGAATAAATTGGTGATCTATAAAGGGTTTTCACTGCATTAGCAAAACTGCCGCCAACAAACTGATCCTTTCATCAGCCATCCATCAAATTGGTAAGGGCAAGCACCCTAACATGGCTGGAGTGAACAGTAATATTCCACCATGAGTTGAGTCAAAAGATCGTAACGTGAAGTGCACCCGCCAGGGGAAACCTACTTTGAAACTAGAACATTAGATTTCAGAAACTCGAGGCGGTTTTTGGTCAGAGTGATCTTTTCTTCTGCTTCTGCTGCCTTTTCTCTTACTCCTTGGACCACATCCCCCGGGGCTTTCTCTACAAACTGCAGCAAACAACAACAACAAAAAAACAGCAAATGGTAATTATTACTTTAAAATTATTCATTCCCCCAAGAATTTTCCATGGACTACGCAACCATGGTGCCACACCAAATACAGACACTACAATTATTGAGGATGCTAACCACTAATAATTTATTATAGGGTGTACATATTTCTGAGAAGATTCTCAAACAAAAAGTTGAAAGGAATTTTAAAATATAGACTGAAAATATATTTCTGACAAGTTGTATAGGACGTATACAAAACAAGTTTTTGTAACTTAAAAACTAGTTTTCTATATCCAGAAACTTCAACGTCTCCAAGCACTTCAAAAGTTAATTTTTCACATGCCCAATGGTAACAAAGAGAAATGCGAAGTCTTCTATGAAGTGATCAATCAATCAGCATTTAGGACAAAACCTACCCAGTAACCCAGATATTCAACCCTATCCCATCCATCATGCTTATTTCCGAGCAAAACATAATCTACATTTCATGAAACCATATTTATGATTTACAATGTGGAAAAAAGCACTTTTCTTTAGTGGGGGGAAAAAAGCCCTATTTAATGAAAATAAACAATCGATTTACTTCTGGCTAAGTACCTTGTTATGTATATGCATAGGTTGGGACCAAGACTCAAAACAAGAAGAATCACACAAATAACTGTGTTCCTAATGCACGCAATTTCCATTGATTCATTTATTGAGTCAAGAGAAGTTACGTATTAATCATATACTAGAGATTACAACAAAAACTATGTACTCAACAATTTGTTTAAGCAAGACAATAGCGTATGATGAGCCACGAATTTTTGCATGCACTGAATATTTTAGGCTTTATTATATTAACTCGCGCTTCAACAGCATAAGCATACTATGATCTATACATGTTGATATTGTCAAGAGAAGGTCAGGCCATAGAGAGAGTAATTCATACGTTAGGAGAACTGAGTTTGGCTACGAAACCATCATACTCTTTCTGCATTTTGGAAAGACGCTTGGAAAGACGTTGAACTTCTGCTGATATATCAACCATATCAGCTAAAGGGAGATATGCCTCTAGTCCCTCACCAGCCACTAGGTGAACCGATCGATCTGCATCCCCTGAACCATATTTATTACATCCACCAAAGAGACAATTCAACAACCAGTATTCATTACACTGAAATAATAATAACTGGCTAAAATGACTGGAAGAGGAAAAACATCTCCAGGCTATGAGAGAAAATATAGAAGAATCTTGCCTGGAAGGAAATTTGTAAAATGAAGTTTTTGCACATCGAGGCGAGAGAGAAGCGTTACAACATCTCTTTCTTTCTGCGTGAGGCACAATACAGGACAAATTACTCAGTATACCATAAGAACAGAATAGTGCATGTCACATGCAGCCAGACAAAAGGAAAGAGACAGCCTGGCTATCAGGGTTTTTATATGTAGATGACAGTGATAGAGGGAAAAAAAGATAAAAGTAGTTCAGAGATAAAATTAATTTCAATTCCCCAAATATGAACTACACTTACAGATATATATTGGATAACTTCGTCGCTTGCAACTACAGATGCTGATATACGTTTTGCAGGCTCAACAGAATATTCTGCCCGAGCATTTCTGATGGCTCTTACCTGAACACACTCCAAAATAATATTTAAAAGCTCGGAAGGTTGTATATATGAGCAAGATGGTAAAAAGCAGCCTTAAATATGATTAGAGAAGAGGAAAAAGATATATACCCACCAAAGCTTGCAAATTTTTGAACTTTTTTATTGAGCTATTGTCCCTCGGAAGTCGAGTCTTAGGCCAAGGTGACACAATAAGAGCTTTCTTACGATTAGGAAGTGCCTGTTGATAAATCAAAGGAATCAGGAATTTAAAAAAGATACGAAGGAGGCTCTGAATTTTCTAATAACAGAGCTAAAAAAGTTGGAGCCTGAAGCACATTTTAGTAAGCCCAAAAGAGTCCAAGAATGGTGATCATAATGCTAGAAGCCTAACAAAATGATGTACAAGGCCCATATGGAGTTCATATTGAATAATTCACTTGAAATACCATGTGACAAGCATATGCCTTAGACAAAGATCATAAGTGACATCCAAGAACATCCAAAAAGGGACAAGAATGCATCATTATGCATTAATTATGATTTAAATTCGGTTTTAGGAAGTTTCCTTTTTCTTATTTGCTTTGAATAAGGCCTTTTGGTCAAAAATTATTTTAAAACATTATATTTTGCTTCAGTTTCCTATTTTTAGATAGCAGACTTGTTTTTGAAGTTTAATTTATTTCCTTTGATCTCTATGTCATAAATGGTGCCTCCCATAGTTAACTAATCATTAATGAGGCATTATCCCTAGCATTTATGCTTAGGATGCTAATTCTAGAGTGTTCTATGGCTGCCTATGTATAGGCTACGTTTTTGTGCTTGAATTTCAGACTTAGATGAATGAGAATTGAATTTATTTCTCTCTGTGTGAACTTTGCTTGCATCCTCGTACTCTTGTGAGAATACTCGACAATATCAAAGGATTGATCAACCTTGTGGTGTCTTCATGGCTAAGATTATAAGAGACAGGTTCTCTTAAGGTTTACCTAGATCAACTGTTCATTCATTACTTGATTCTAGCCAGTTCGTATGTCACCCTCATATCAAGTGACATCAGAGCTAGGTTTGCTAGATTTCAAGTTCTATCTTTTGTGTTTTCATTTTTTTTTTTGTTGCTTCCTTTTTTTTTTGTTCCGTTCTCCTTATTCTGTCTTCCTCCCTTCTTCTTTATTTCCATTCCTTTTTTTTTTTTTTTCCTTTTCATCTTCTCTCCACCCATTGTTTGTGTTTGTTCAACTTGCTTTGTTCTTTTGAGTAGCCAAAAAAAAAAAAAAGCCCACTTATATTGAGAAAAAAAAGCTAAAAAAAGAAATTCGAAAATTCATGGGGGAAAAAAAGATTGAAGGCACGTTTCCTACTTTGAAAATACTTCCATTGCAAATCACAAGTAATTTTCTAAATCTTTAAGTTTGGGTGGTAAGACTTACTTTTCTTTCTTTTTTGTTTCCTATTTTGAATTCCTTTCCTTTTCTTACTACTATCCTATTTTCTTTCTTCAAGTTTCCTTTATTCTTTTGTTTCCTATTCCTTTTCCTTCCTTTTCATACTACTTGCCTAATTTGAGTTCTTTTCTTACAAGGTATTCACTTTCCTAAAATTCTCTCAAGGTAATACCTTTCTTATTTTCCTTTATTTTTACACTCTTATTTTTGTTCTTTACTTTCTTCCTTCCTTTACCACATTTTTTTCTATCTTTTTTTCCTTCCACCATATACTTCTCTCCTCACTTTCTTTTTACTTCCTTTCATTTCATCCTTTGTTTTCCTATACTTCTTCTTTCATCTCTTATTTCTTTTTTTTCACCACATAGTTGACAGCTCTTACAATTTCTGATTGTGAAGGTTACTACTTTTTAATATTGTCTCTTAGTTTTTATTGAGTTTCAATCAAGAATACAATAGAAGACAAGCTTGGGTGGTAAAAGACAAGAGTGCTTTACTTCAATATAAAAGCCAGATTTGAGAGGACCACGAGTGGGACCAAACTAATTGAGTAAAACACGTCTTTTATTATTATTTTTTTCTCTTGCTTAAACTAACATTTCAGATTAAAGATGAGTGGGAAAGAATCCAACAATGAGTTTGGATTTGTCCTAACAGAAGGTTATAAATAGCCTCCATATGGTATTCTTGTGGTTGTGCTGAAAATTGACCAACTGCTCCAACAGCGAAGCTTATGTCAGATCTAGTCTGGGACAAATATATGAGCTTGCCCACTAGTCTTTTTATATCTCTCTGCATCAGCTAGAAGTCCATTTTTTTTGAATTCTAGATTAACAGATGGATCCACAAGAGTTGATGGTTTAGATCCCAGCATACCTGTTTCCTTGAGTAGATGGAGAATATATTTTCTTTGGGATACAAAAATGCCCCTTTTTGATCTAGCAATTTCCATTCCAAGAAAGTACCTTAGGTTCCCAACGTCTTTAACTTCAAATGCTGCTGCCAGGTTTATTTTAACTATCTATCTCTTCAAAATCATCACCAATAATTACAATGTCATCAACATGCACAATTAAGATAGCTATTTTCAAACCTGAATACTTAACAAATAGTGTATGATCAAATTGACATTAGATGTATCTTACACCTTTTACCACCTTTGTAAATCTCTCAAACCAGGCCCTTGGTGATTGTTTAAGGCCATAGAGGGATTTATGTAATCTGCAAGCCTTGGTAGGATTTCCCTGTTCCCCCAAACCTTCTGGGACCTTCATGTAGACCTCTTCTTTGAGATCTCCATTCAAAAATGCATTTTGTACATCTAATTGAAGGCCAATCTAGCTTGGCAGCTATCGAGAACATGTTATACAAAATTATCTCAGAAGTTATATAAGCAATGCCTAGGCCCTCAACTTTCAATGCTTTACCATCTACAACCTTTACAAAAATATTGAAAGGGCAAGGTCTTATGTTTGTTAACAAATTCGAATTTCCAATTATATGGTCAGTAGCATCAAATCTACTATCCATAATCTCTTATCATGCACATCAATTTGCAACAGAGTATATTACCCAGTTGCAATGATATTTTCTTTGGAATCATGTTTCTATAAAAATCTTCTGAGTAAATCAAGTTCTTCTATGCTGAATTCCGACTCACTTGAACCTTCAGTAGTGCCTAAGTATCCCCGGTCTTCTTGCCTTCCTTTCTTTGGAGGTCTGCCATGTAATTTCCAGCAGACATCCTTCATGTGACCTTTCTTCTTGCAATGATCACACCATTTATTGAGTTTTTTGTGATCATCTTGGATTGCTCCCTTAGATGTTAGTGCACTTGGCTGAACAGCTTCAACAGAGCTGTCAGTAATTAATTTCTTTTGACTCTGTTCACCACGTAATGTAAAGAATACTTCTCTCAGTGGGGGCAAGTTCTCAAGCACCATAATTTTGCCCGGTACTTCTTCAAATGAGGCACCTAGTCCAAGAAGAAACTTAAAGATGCGTTTTTCTTCTTTAATGTTAGCATAAAGCGCTGCATCTCCAGTGCAACTCCAAGCATGTGGCTCATATGCATCAAGTCGCTACCATTTAACAATTAATTCAGTGTAGTATTAGATCACTGAAAAGTTACCTTTCTTGAAATCATGGAGGAAGCACTCAATCTCGAGTATGGCAACCTTGTTTTTGACGGCAACAAACATATCCTTTGTAGCATCCCATACTTTTTTCGCTGTTGAGAAGAAAGAAAAGTGAGTGCTAATTTCAGTGGTCATTGAATTTATCAACCATGCCTGCACCATTGAATTTTTTGTTTCCCAAGTGGCATACTTTTGGTCGCTAGCTGCGTGTTTGTCTATCGCAACAGTGAGGTATCCATACTTCTCATTGCTTATGATGAAGAATCTCACACTAGAAGACCATTAGAGGTAATTGTCTCCATTAAGACGATGAATGGTAATGGCCGAAGGGAGGGGCTCGGATGAATTCTCGTTGCTAGTTGAATTGGTTGTTGTTGCTACCAACCCAGTGGAGTTTGTTTCTGATTGTCTAGGGTTGTTTTCTCCATCATTAGGTAGGCCCATACCGAAAGTTATCATTTTGCTCTAATACCATGAACAACTCTAATCGTTCTGAATTGTTGTTTTATTCAAATGAGATGCTAGTTACAAATAGAGCATAGAAACCCGAATAGATGAGAGTGATAAGCCGAAATCCTAGTGATTGACCTGGATCCTAGGAAATACAAATTCAAATAATAAAGATGAAAACAGAATAATATCCCTGGATACTAGATTACATCATAAATTTAAATTTCAAACTAGTGCTAACTAGGATAAGGGTTTTTAGGCCCATGGCCCAATTCCTCTTCTGCCGCCAACCAAATGGAAGAGTCAAAGGTATCCAAAGCTAATAGTAGTGATGAGGAGGTCATTTGATCTGGTTCATCCTCTTTAAAGAGCAAGAGCAAATATTCCAAAAATAACGTAGTCATAGCTGACCCAAAAATCAAGTATCTTACTTTCAACAATAATACCAATTCGGATAAATATCTTGATGAGAGGATGAAATTTGAGCAAATTTTAAAAATGAATGATTGGGCTGAAGAAATGAGGATAAAACTAGCTTCATTATAGTTTCTGACTATGCTACTATTTGGTAGGAAGATTTAGAGCTTCAAAGGTGCCTTAAGTGCAAAGGTCCACCTCGTACATGGAAAAAGCTAAAGAAACTTATGCGCAAAAAGTATGTTCTCAGTTTCTACTATCGAGAGCTTAATAGAAAGTTGCAACTGTTTAACCAAGACTCTATGATAGTAAAAGAATATGTACATGAACTCGATCTTCTTAAGATGCATGCTGGAGTACAAGAAGATGAATAATCAAGCATGATCAAAAATTATTGATGGTTTGAAACGTAAAATTAGAGACAAAGTTGGTATGTACATTTTTGTTGATAAGGAAGAGTTAGTGCACAAAGTCATCAAAATTGAAAAACAATTTAAAGAGAAACACTCCAAATCCTCATTCTATGGCTGGAGGGACTCTAAATCAAATTCCAAGTGGAAGGATTCTAAGGCTAAGAATGCAGCCAAGGAGAAATCGAAGCCCAAGGGTGATGGTGGTAAAAAACTTGACTCTTAAAACTTCTACTTATGAAACCCCTTCTCTTCAATATTTTAGATGTCGTGAAAAAAGACATATTGCTTCCAAATGTCCCAATAAGAAAGCCATTATTCTCAAGGATAATGGTGAATATGACAATGAACATTCTAGTGATAAAAGTGATGATGACATGCTTTTTTTGGTGACTGATTCTGAATTGGAGATTAATGAAACTAAGCCTATTACAGGAGAAGCATTGGTGGCTAAAAGAGCCCTAAATATGCAAGTAAAGGAAAATCACGATTAAGTATCGCTACCCTATTCCTAGATTAGATGATATGTTAGATGAGTTGCATGATACTGCTTTATTCTCTAAAACTGATCTTAGGAGTGGTTACCATCAAATTCACATAAAAGAGGGAGATGAATGAAAAAGAGCATTTAAAATTAAATTTGGATTGTACAAATAGTTAGTTATGCTTTTTATTTTTATAAGCTTAATGAATTATATTTTTCGTTTATTTATTGGAAAGTTTGTAGTTATCTACTTTGATGATATTCTTGTCTATAATAGAATAATAGATGACCATGTTATTCACTTGTGTGAAGTGTTTCAAACTCAGAGAGAGAATAGCTTTTATAGCTAATATTCTACTGTATTTCTTGATTCTGTTACAAGTGCCCAAGGGATCTGTGTGGATGAGGAAAAGATAAAAGCTATAAGAAATTGGCCAACCCCAAAGAATGCCAATAAAATTAGGAACTTTCATGGATTAGCAAGTTTCTATACGAGGTTTGTCAAAGATTTTTCAGTTATTGTTATGCTTCTAAAAGAGCTTGTTAAGAAACTTGTGACATTTAAATAGAGTGAAACAAAAGAAACAGCTTTTAATACCTTTAAAAAAAAAAAAAATTAACCAATGCACTACTTTTGTGTTTACCTGCTTTTAATAAAATCTTTGAAATGGAATGTGATACTTCTAGAGTTGATATTGGTGCTGTTCTAATGCAAGAGTCCAGGCATATTACTTACTTGAGTGAGAAATTAAGTGGAGTTTCTTTGAATTGCTCTACTTATAATAAAGAACTCCATGCTTTGAAAAAAACTTTAGAAACTTAGCAGCATTATCTATAACCCAAGGAGTTCGTTATTCATTCTGATCATGAAAATCTGAAGTTTTCAAAATCTCAAGGGAAGCTCAACAAAAAACATGCTCATTGGTTGGAGTTCATAAAGACCTTTCCATATGTGATCAAACATAAGCAAGGTAAAGAGAATGTTGTTGCTAATACTTTTTTTTAGGAGGTATTTTCTTATCACTTCTCTTCTTGCTAGATGACTTGGATTTGAATTGTTGAAAGGGTTGTGTGAGTCTGATTGTGATTTTTCTAAAATTTAGTTTTCTTTTGAAAAACATGAGGTGAATAACTTTTATAAATCTGATGGGTTTCTTTCTAAGAAAGATAAATTGTGCATCCCCAATTGCTCTAGACGTGAATTGCTTGTAAAAAAAACTCATGGTGGTTGTTTGATTGGTTACTTTAGTGTTGATTAAACTTTAACTCTCTTGCATAAACACTTTCATTGAAAAGATGTTTCTATTTGTGCTAAATATGTGACATGTAAGCATGCATAATTAAGGTCCAACCTCATAATTTGTATTCTCTTTTTACCTGTGCCTTCCCAACCCTAGATGGATATTTCTATGAATATTGTGTTGGGTTTGCCTAGGTCTCAATTTGAAAAAGACAGTATCTTTGTTGTGGTTGATAGATTTAGTAAAATAGCTCATTTTATTGCATGTTTTAAAACAAATAATGCTATCCATATTCCTGACTTGTTTTTCAAGGAAATTGTTAGGTTACATGGTGTCCAAAATCATTGCGAGTGATAGGGATGTGAAATTCCTTAACCATTTTTGGAAGAATTAATGGAGTAAGCTAGGAACTACATTATTATTTTCTACTGTGACACATCCCCAAACTGATGGGCAAACTAAGGCAGTCAATAGAATACCTACTACCTTGTGTGCAATAATTCAAAAGAACTTGAAGAGTTGGGTCAATTGTTTACTTCATATTGAGTTTGTATATAACAGAGCTGTTCACTCTTCTACTTCCTTCTCTCAATTTGAAGTTGTTTATGATTTTAGTCATTTGTCTTCTTTAGATATATTACCATTACCTTCTAGTGAACGAACAAATTTTGATGGCAAGAAAAAGACTGAGTTTATGCAGGGATTACATACCAAGGTAAGAGCCACCCTAGAGAGGAAAAATAAACAATATGCTAAGCAAGCTAACAAAGGTCATCAGAGGATTGTCTTTAAGCCTGACGATTGGGTTTGGGTACACCTGTAAAAAGAGATTTCCCCAACAACGCAAATCTAAGTTACACTCAAGAGGAGATGGCCCTTTCCAAGTCTTGAAGGGGATCAATGCAATGCTTATAAAATAGATTTGCCTAGCTCCTATAGTAATATTAGTGCTACTTTTAATGTGGCTGATTTATCTCTCTTTAATGCTGCAGATTCAAGGACAAATCCTTTCGAGCAAAAAAGAAATGATGGAGGAGTATGGTGTGATTAAGATCAAGTTTCAAAAGAAGAGCAAGAAGCCCAAATGCATGGAAAAGAGTCCCACATTCCAAAAAATCCACTACAAGGTATTGGATACCCAATGACAACTAAAGCTATGGAGGAGGTTTTGAAAGAGCTAAAAGAGTTAGAACCCACTTATTTGGAGGAAACACATTTTAGTGAGCATAAAAAGAGTCCAAGAATGGTTATCACATTGCTAGAAGCCCAACAAGATGATGTACAAAGCCCATATGGAGTTCAAATTGAAGAATTCACTTGAAATACCATAAGCATGTGCCTTATTCAAGAAGGGTCAAGAAAGCATCTTTATGCATTAATTATGATTTAAATTCGGTTTTAGAAAGTTTTCTTCGTTTTTTTTAATTTGCTTTGAATAAGGTCTTTTGGTGAAGGATTGTTCTAGAAGATTGTGCTTTGCTTCAGTTTCCTATTTTTAGATAGCAAACTTGTTCTTGAAGTTTAACTTATTTCCTTTTATCTCTATGTCATAAATGGTACCTCCCATAGTCAACTAATCATTAATGAGGCATCCTCCCTAGCATTTATATCTTAGGATGCTAATTCTAGAATTTTCTATGGTTACCCATGTATAGACTACGTTTTTGTACTTGAATTTCAAACTTCAATGAATGAGAATCAAGTTTATTTCTTTTTATATGAGCTTTGCTTGCATTCTCGTATTCTTGTGAGAATACTCAACAGTACCAAAGAATTGATCAATCTTGTGGTGTCTTCGTGGCTAAAGTTGTAAAAGACAAGTTCTCTCAAGATCTTACTTAGATCAACCATCCGTCCATTACTTGATTCTAACCGGTCTGTACGTCACCTCTCATATCAATTATTGACATGGGATATAAATAATTAATTAATTTTAAAGTAAATTACACAGGCCTTTAGTAATTTTTTGCCTGAATTTCAGACTTCCTCTTTATTTTTAAAATATATATAGAGACATTCCATGGAACAAAATAAACTTTAGTCCTTTTTCCAACTAAAATATATTCCATTAACTTAAATTAATTTTTTAAAGAAAAATCTGAATAAAAAGGTATTTAAAAAAAAAATTTCAGTGCAAGATCAATTTCAAAGGAAGTTTGCATATAATTTGAAATCCATTTAAAATAGAGAATAGTGTAATTTCATCAAAAACCAAAGGACGCCTGTGTAACTTGCACTAAATTTTTACTTATGATTGCAAAGGATGACTAAAAAGATATAAAAACTTGAAAAGATAAATCTTTTAACTGTAAAATTTATACAAATAATTAGTGGCAGTTGTGTATAATAAATCCCAATATACTGATACTTGCTGCATATAGGTACTTTAGAAAAGAACCCTCAGCATAACATTTACCTGCCATAGCTCCTCCGTTACAAATGGCATGAAAGGATGCAGCATTTTGAGAATATTCTCGAAAGTGTAAAGCAGAACAGCCTGTGCTGTTGAAGCAACTGCGTTATCTCCTGACTGGTAAAGCCGAGCCTTGCTAGCTTCGATGTACCTGAACACAGCATTGAAAGGAAAGATCAGATACCATTATTCCAAATCAAGGCAAGGAAAAAGGAGAGGAAGAAAATCACCATATACAAAATATCTTTTGCAAAATTAGTATGAAAACAATCAACGTTGGGTCAAAATGTACATTAAAAATAAGTAGAAACATACCAATCAGCAAAATCACTCCAAAAGAAATCATATATTTCTCTTCCTACTTCTCCAAAGGAAAATTTGTCATAACTTGCAGTCACAGAATCAATAAGCACGTGAAGTTTTGACACCTGTAATTTTTTTTCTTTTAATAAAAAGGTATCACAAAACCGTGCAAGATCTAGCAATAAACAAAACAGAAAGATAACATTGCATTACCACCCAACACTCTGGTAATGGTAGATTACACACTGAATCTTCTCTGTCGAACTGAAAAGAAAAATAAAATAAATTAATATCTTAGCAAAAAGAATATAACAAGGCCAACTTTTTCCAGCTTTTAGAGCTATAACTCTGAACTTTTATCAGAACGAGAGAAATGTCATAATCAATAAAAACACCAGGTAAGTATGACCACGGCATACTACAAATAAAAGAAATTACTCAAGTAAGTGCTATTCTTGTTCTAATATTTGGATTTTAAGCAAACAGCAAACTCTCCTAAATAAAATAGTAATATAGCTTTTGCTAACAACGAAACTCTCCTCAAACTCCCCGAAAAGCTATATATGAAGATGCTACCAGAGAAGCACAAACACTTCAAAAGATAAGTTGTGTCAATCTGATGCATGCTGAAGGCTTGTATTAGAGATGAGCTGACACTCCAAATTACACGCAGACACTTCATTTGTTGTCATATCAAAGGATTTTAGATATTTTTTGTGTCTTGTTGAAGAAACTAGAAACTAAGTTACTACTGTCAATATTATTAGTTGATCTATTATTATTTTAATAATGCATCTCCTGGGGTAGATTTCACAGATTATCTCAATATCTTGAAAGCTTAGACCCTAGGATTCTATATCTAGCTAGATATTGAGCATCTAGTCATCTTAGGAGATTTAGGGTTTTCTTCTCTACATATGTATTCAACGCACTGCTTTATGAACAAGATAGCATCAGGGAAGCCGCAACACCTCTGATTAGCACATACCATATGCCTATATCTTTGTCAATGTTCAAAGTTCGTGGAATGCTACCGTACTAAGATTGCTTATCACCTTATAAGCCAATATGTTTCCCCAAGCAGGTGTTTCATGCTGATTAGGTAAATTTTGTAATATAAATTTGCCAGCATTCCACAATTTGTTTGTGAAGGCCTTGTTGGAGGTCAACCTTTCAGTTGACAAATTAAGGTCCTGAAAGAAAAGAAATTGTTCCGTCAATCAGAAAAGTGTTTTTGATAAGATACCTCAGAAAATATATCAAAATCAACAAAGTGTAATAATATAGAACAAAGCTAAACAAACCTGCCCAGCTGTTCCTAAAGCCAATGTGAATCGTAAAGCATCCGTCCCAAAATCTTTGATTGTGTCAAGAGGATCTATCACATTTCCCAGTGTTTTAGACATTTTTCTCCCCTAAAAAGTTGTAAGTATTACCTAATCAGTATACATAAACCAGAATCAAGTGTTTCATGTGTGAAGTCCAAAAATAAAATATCTTCATATCGTTAAAAAAAGGGAAGGCAGAAAATCAGAATCATAAAATATCTCAAATGAAATTTGAATAAATGCATTTAAAGCGCTGTTTTTGCAGTGTGTCATTTTGATAATATATTTAGCAATTATTATTAATATATGGATAAGACTTGAGAACCCTATTCATCTCATCTCTAAATATGTAACCAGAAAAATAAATTTCATTTATTATCTATGTCTTATGAACATAGATCAATGAAGTAATTATGCTACTGCTAAGTCGTTACCCAAAAGTAACACGCTGTATGGCTTGAGTATAGTGAGAAGTGAGCTAGACTAGCTGCATCATTGCTTGGATGTAGTGTTAAATCAACAAGGGCTACCACACTCTCATAAACAGAGGTGACTAAAGAAGTTAGTTCATAACAGCAAAATTAGATATGGTACTTGGAATATTAGGACATTGTATGGGAAATTTATGGAGGTAGCAGGAGTTATAAGAAAAAGAAGGATTAGCATCTTGTGTTTCCAAGAAACTAAATGAATTGGAGGAACTTCCACGGAATTTGGAAAGTTTAAACTTTGGTACACAGGAAAAGTGAATACAACGAATGGTGTTAGTATCATCATTGATAGAGCATGGAAGAAGAATGTGATGGAAGTTAAAAAGATTGAAGATAGAATATTATCTTGAAGAATGATTGTTAGAAAGGATACTATCAATATCATTAACGTCTATACGTCTCAAGTAGGGGCAAAAGCACATCTTAAGGATAAGTTCTGGGAAGATATGGAAGGGTTGGTTCAAAGTATAATAGCTAAAGAAAATATTTTTATTAGTGGGGACCTTAATCGACATGTTAGCAAGGAAACAGGACAATATGTTAGGGTTCATGGTGGTTTTGGCTTTGGGGATTTTAACAATAAAGAACAATCTATTCTTAACTTTTCTCTTACATACAATCAAGATTGTCAACACCTTTTTTAAAGGAACGAGAGGGGCATTTAATCACATGCAAGAGTGCAGCCTCAAGACCATATATTGATTTCTTTTTGGCTAAGAATCTGGACAGAAGGCTTTATACCAATTGTAAAATGATCCTTGGGGATGGGCTGACTGCTCAACATGGGTACTTGTCCTTAATGTGCATTTTAAGAGGATCAAACAAAAGAATTACCAAATTGTTAACCCCACAGTCGGGAGGCGACAATTAAAAGGTGAGAAGTGGGAGATGGCTGCGAGGGTTCATAGGGTTGCTAAAACAATTTTGAGAGAATCCAAAGGTCATGGTCAGAGAGATAAGGAGACTTAATGGTGGGATGAGAATGTACATGAAAAAATCAAACACAAAAGAAATTGTTTCAAAGCCATACATTTGTGCAATAATATGCAAAACTGATATTGTTTAGCTAAAAAAGAGACAGAGAGCAGTGAGTGAAGCACGTTCTAAAACATATGAGGAGTTTTATAAGGAGTTACAAAGGCGGGGGAAGAGATATTTACAAGATTTCAAAGCAAAAGGAGAGGAAAAAGAGAAATATAGACCAAGTAAGTTGTATAAAAGATTAATATAGGTGAAACAAAAGACTTTTCTATCAAGATTGGCCTACACCAGGGATCTTCTTTCAGTCCTCACTTGTTTAATCTTATTCTAGACATTCTAACTAAACTTATTCAAGAAGAAATCCCTAAATGCATGTTTTTTTGACTGATGACATGGTTCTCATGGCTTAATCAAAAAAGAGACTAACTCTAGATTAGAGTTACGAAGAATCTGGAGTCGAAAGGTTTTCATTTAAGTAAGAACAAACCAGAATATATGCATTGCAATTTTAGGAAGAGGCAAGTCAGTGGTAATTCGGAGGTTAAGATGAGAAAACGAATCATTCCTCAGGTGTCAAAGTTCAAATATCTAGAATACGAGGATAATAAAATTGATGGAGACATTTCTCATAGAATACAGGCCGGGTTGTTAGAGTAGAGGAAAGCTACCGGAGTTATTTGCGATAAGAAGATATCTCATAAGCTTAATGGAAAATTCAATCGGACTGCCATAAGACCAGTTATGCTACATGGCAATGAATGTTGGGTTCTAAAAGAAAAACAATGGCATAAAGTTGGCATAGTAGAAATAAGGATGTTGAAATAGATGTGTGGTCATATAAGAAAAGATAACATTCGAAATGAAAATATCAGAACAAGAGTAGATGTGGTCCCAGTTGAAGAGAAAATAGTTGAACATCGTTTGAGGTGATCTGCACATGTGTAGAGAAAGCCATTTGAGGCACTGGTAAGGAAGGTAAATCAACCAGTTTGAAGTCCTTTAAAAAAAGGCAGAGGAAAAATAAGGAGAACACCAATAAGATCATTAAACGAGACTTTTTGGTTAACATTATATCTAAAGACTTGGTTGTTGATAGAACACAATAAAATAATGCGATTCATGTAGCCAACCCTACCTAGTGGGATGAGGCTTGATGATGTTGTTGCATTATCTATGTTCGAAAACCATTTCCATTTTTGCTACAACATACTGCCATAAGCCTACTACCATTGTTATCACTCGTTGTGGATATACACTGTCATTGAAACCCACTATAGGTTGAAATTGGACCAAAACAATCTTGAATTGAGTTAGGTCTAAGCAACTACTCAGTTCAATTGTGAACTTGAGAGGGAAAAATCCCTTTCTTCATTGATTATGAAGAAAGAGTTACATTGCTATATATGTGAGAGGGAAAAAAAACCTAGAGAATAAACACTAATTGAGTTTAATAAATGCAAGATGATAAATACAAATATTTACACAGCATTCACAGACCATAGGTGCTAATCATATCCAACTTGCTTATACAACTCTCAAATGCAGGGTTGAAAAATCTCTTTATTGTTACATCTGTAGCTTGAAGATTGGCAGCGAGATAAGCCAAACGATTCCTTCAACTTTTCTCTAATGAGATGCCTAACCACCTAAACATGCTTAGATCTTAAATATGGAATATGATTTTAAGGCCATGCTTATAGCACCTTTGTTGTCACAATAGAGTTTCAATGGTAAATCCACAATAACTTGTATTTCATTCAAGACTCATTTCAACCATAGCTCTTCTATTATTTTTTGAACCAATTCCTTCAATTCGAACTAAACATTGCTCTTAGACATAACTCATTGTTTCTGAATTTTCCAAATAACTAGATTTCTCCATACAAAGGAGCAATAACCAGAAGTTGATCTCCGATTAGGATAAGTTCCTCTTCATTTTACATCTGTTCCAAAGGTCATTGACTTAAAATTCTTTCCCCAGAACAGCCTTTATTCTTGCTATTTCCTCAATATGATCTCTTGTAACAACTATGTCATCAACATACACAATAAGAATGTACTTCCTACCTCCCTCAGCTTTAACAAACATCGTATGATCAACTATCTCTATTTCTAGCCTGCTAACGTCAAAACCTTTGAAAACCTGTCAAACCATGCATTTGGAGACTGCTTCAGGCCATATAGAGACTTCTTGAACCTGCATGCTTAATCACTTTTGGCTTTATCAAATCCTAGAGGTGAAGTCATGTAGACTTCTTTTGGTCCTCAATTTAGGAGAGCATTCTTGATATCTAGTTGATGAAATAACCATTGTAGGTTGGTTGCCACAAACAGTAGAACTTTGATAGTATTCAATTTTACTATTGCCCCAAATATTTCTTGGTGGTTTAGGCCATATATGTCTAAGTGAACTCTCTTACTACCAAGCATGCTTTTAACTTGTCAAGAAAGCCATCAACCTTATATTTAGGGGTAAAAAACCCCTTGTAGCTAAAAAGATTTTTGCTCCTAGGCCTTTCACTCCCATGTTCCATTATGTTCGTAAAAGAGAAAATAGATGGCAGTCGGTGGAAAAATAGACAGAGGAAAAGGCAAGGAAAAATAGATATTGAAAGTTCACTCTTGATTGCTTGACTGAAATATGCGACGCATGGGCACCTTAAATGACTGGCTTCTGCAGCTATGTTTGGGCTAATCTGGTGAATTGGAAAAGTAAAAAACAAGGTGTTGTTGCAAGAAGCTCAGCTGAAGCAGAATTCAATCCGTGAGGTTGTATGGATTAGAAGAGTACTAAGAGAGCTTGGAATTAAAGTTAACGAGCCAGCTAAGGTTTGGTGTGACAACAAAGCTAGAATTAGGATTGTTCAAAATCCTGTTTTACATGATCTAACTAAGCATATGGAAATTGACCACGACTTTATCAATGATCATATTGAAGATGACACCATTGCCTTATCCTACATACACACCACCGAACAAGTAGCTGATACTTTAACTAAAGTACTCGGCAAAGACTGATCTGAGAAGCTGAATTCCAAGCTGGAAATGATTAACATCTATCTGCCAGCTTGAGGGGGGTAGTTGGAGAGTGCCGTTTTTAATATTTAATTATCATTTGATTAATTGTTGGGCCCTGTATTTCTAAGCCAATTAGTTTAGATTTGAATAATATATTTATCCTTTATTTTTTTGTGATTTTAGGGAGATAAGATAGGATATCAATCTTTCATTAAACCTAATCCTCTCCTACATATGTTTAAGCTCTGATCGAATGAAATTATAAGGTCAATTCTAAAACTTCTTCAATTCAAAATAACCCAGTGACATATAACGCAGCATTACTTGTGAATCCCTGATGAGTCCATGCAAATAAACATGCGAAAATGGAACTGTTCCTGTGAACTCAATCCCCATCATTACCATCCTTGCCACCCAGAAGAACAGAATATCATGCCTGTCAAGAAATGGAAGAAAAATCGTTTTTTAAGAACTTCAACAAAAGAAGCACAACATAACTCATAATATGATTGCCACATCAGGTTTAAGTGCTGGGTACCAAAATATATAAACATACAGAAACACAACTGTTGCATGGTGCAACAATTCCATGAACATCATTAAATGCATGAAAGATATGAAATCACTTATCATGTTCATAGGAGAGATAACGCTTGGCTCAGTTTTCCTTCTAGGAAAAATTGCTGTCACTATTAGTATTTTGACATTTTTTCTGTTTTCAGTCACTTTCTAAACTAAACTAGATTGCATCGTGGTGATAAACCTATTGACGTCAGCAAAACTAATCGACCCAACTATCCCACTTTTAGAAACAAAACCAAATAAAGTTTATTCAATAAGCAATACTGCTTAAAGAGTATTGAAAATTCACTCTTCCATATTATTTCATATGATTTGGGTACAATATATAGAGTCTCATACTACCGGTTACAATCAATCAGTAATAAATGAAAGATATTGCAATATCACAAGTAATCAGGAATTTATTGTCTAGCTAGAATCATGGGTAATTAATGGAGAGAATAAAGGGAGAGAATCAGGGAGAGAATCAAGGGCTTCTAACACTCCCCCTCAAGCTGGAGAGTAGATGTCAACCATTCCCAGCTTGCTTCGAAGCCCTTCAAACTTGACTCTGGCTAACGGTTTGGTCATGATGTCAGCAATCTGATCAGTTGAACGCACATAGTTCAAGTTAATGATACCATCCTCGACCTTTTCTTTGATGAAGTGCCGATCAATGTCAACATGCTTTGTTCGGTCGTGATACACAGGATTTTTGGTCATTTCAATGCTGGCTTGATTGTCACACCAGAGATTCATAGGTCCTTCATAGGAGATTCTCAATTCCTTCAGAAGTCTAATCACCCACATTCCTTCACATACCCCCAGGGCTACAGCTCTTAGCTCAGCCTCAGCACTGCTTCTTGAGACTACTGTCTGTTTCTTGCTTCGCCAAGTGACTAAGTTTCCCCAAACATAAGTACAGTATCCTGTGACAGATCTTCTGTTATCCACAGCTCTCCCATGATCTGCATCAGTGTAGACCTCGATGCTCCTTGTACTCCCCTTTTAAAGAATAGTCCTCTTCCAGGGTTGAGTTTGAGGTAGGTGAGGATTCTGTATACTGCTTCCATGTGTTCTTCCTGGGGTTGATGCATAAATTGGCTTACCACTCCAACTGCATAACTAATGTCAGGCCTTGTATGAGTCAAGTAGATTAGTTTGCCCACAAGTCTTCTGTACCTTTCTGAGTTAACTGGTGTCCCTTTTGGTTTCACTTCCAGATTGCATGACTCTTCCATAGGAGTCTCACTGGTTTAGCCCCAAGTATTCCTGTTTCGTGGAGTAAGTCCAGTGTGTACTTTCGTTGAGACACACTTATACCCTTTTTGGATCTAGCAACCTCCATTCCAAGAAAGTACTTCATTTGGCCTAGATCCTTCACTTGGAATTCCCTAGCCAGGGCCTTCTTGAGGTGAGAGATAGAAACCTCATCACTGCCAGTTATGACTATATCATCCACATACACAATTAGGATCGTTACCTTTCCATCACTGTGTTTGACGAAAAGAGTGTGATCAGCTTGTCCTTGAATGTAGCCAAACCTTTTGATTGCTTTGGCAAACCTGTCGAACCATGCTCGTGGAGATTGTTTCAGGCCATATAATGATTTCTTCAATTTGCAAACTGAGTTGGGCGGAGCTATTACTCCATCTGGAATTTCCATGTACACTTCCTCCTCCAGATCTCCATTTAGGAAAGCATTCTTCACATCTAGTTGATGTAGGGGCCAATCAAGGTTGGCAGCTAGGGACAGGAGTACCTGGATGGTGTTGAATTTTGCCACAGGAGCAAACGTTTCTTGATAATCAATCCCATAGGTTTGGGTGTACCCTTTGGCAACTAATCTTCCTTTGTACTTGTTGATGCTGCCATCAGGATTGAATTTAGGGGTGAAGATCCACCTGCAACCCACTGCTTTCTTGCCTTTAGGAAGTGTGGTGATATCCCACGTGTTATTCTCCTTCAAGGCTCTCAACTCCTCATATGCAGCATGTTTCCAATTAGGATCTGTTACAGCCTGTTGAAATGTTTCTGGAATTTTCACCTGTGAGCTATTCACTACAAAAGTTTGCATTCTCGCAGATAAATTGCCATAGAGACAAATTTTTGAATAGGATGTTGAGTACACGATCTTACCCCCTTTCTAAGTGCAATAGGCCATCCCAGTTCTTCAGGATCCAACTCCGGATTGGAATCATGTTGCTGCCTTGGAATGGAAGGAACCCTACTACTACTGTCCTGTTCACCTGATTGAGGACTTGAGTGCTCTGTCACCCCTGCATCAATTTCAGCATTGGTTTCCATTGGGTGAGGGATGTTTGTGGAGTTTTGGTGTTCTGGAGAAGGTGTAGCAGTAGGGGTTTTTGGTTCCATTTCCGGTTCAGGGATGTTGTCTTGAGGCGGTATGGTTATAGGTTCGGATGTAATTAGCCATTCTACTCCATAGTGCTCCCCCTGAATGGGTAATTTGGGATAGTAAGCATCATCCTCATAAAAGACTGTGTCTTTGGAGATTATAAGTTTTCTGGTGGTGGGACAATAACACTTGTACCCCTTTTTGGTGGAGGAATACCCGAGGAAAATGCATTTTTCTGCTCTAGCACCTAGTTTGCCTCCATCATGTTTATGGACAAAGACGACACACCCAAAGACCTTTTGAGGGATGGTATTGATGATAGGTGAAGTGGGGTAAGTCTCGAGGAGCTTTTGAATAGGGGTGCTAAAGTGGAGAATTTTAGAGGCCATGCGGTTGATAAGGTAGGCTGCGGTTAGTACAGCATCTCCCCAAAACAGATTTGGAACATTTCTTTCCATCATAATAGCTCGGGTCACTTCCAAAAGGTGTCTATTCTTTCGCTCAGCAACTCCATTTTGTTGAGGAGTATAAACACATGAGGTTTGGTGATGGATTCCCTCCTGCTCAAGAAATTCCCTAAAGGCTCCACTCACATACTCTTTGGCATTGTCACTTCTCAGGACTTTGATGGTAGTTTGGAATTGGGTTCTCACAAACGAGTAAAAGTTTTTGAAAATTTGTAGGGCTTCGGATTTCTCTTTCATAAGGTAAACCCATGTGACCCGGGTGTGATCATCTATGAATGTGATAAACCACTTTGTGCCTGTTCGGGTGTTGGTTTTGGCTGGTCCCCAAATGTCGGTATGGATCATTGTGAACGGGGTAGAAGGTTTGTAAGTATGTTTGGGATAAGAGGCGCGAGTTTGTTTAGCAATTTGACACGTTTCACATTGGAAAGGAGAAGAATTTTTATTGAATAAAGTTGGAAACACATGCTTCATATAATCAAAGCTGGGGTGGCCTAATCTTTGATGCCACAACATTACATTTTTATTCTGAGAGTTGGAGCTAACCATAGCTTTCTTTGCTCCTGCTGTCTTCATATCCTTTCCTTCAAAGTAGTAGAGTCCATCCCATTCTTTAGCAGTCAAAATCTTCCTCCCCGAGGTCGAATCCTGAAAAACACATTTAACATCATCAAATATCACCCGACATGCTTTCCCTTTAGTTAATTTGCTCACAGAAATAAGATTGCAAGTAAGAGCAGGGACAAACAAAACATTATGGATTTCCAGATCTTCAGATAGAGCCACACTGCCAACACCCTCAACTTTAGTATACAGTCCAGTTGCCACTTTTACTCTAAGGTTCTCATGGCAATATTTGAGGGTTTTGAAGAAGGACTTATTACCAGTCATGTGATCTGTAGCACCGGAGTCAACAATCCAAGTCTCATCACTAGTTATCATTGCATTGAGGGCTATAATGGAATTACCTGACTGTATCAAGTTCACGTTGGGAACAGATTTTGATTTGTTTTGTTTTTCAAGTATCTTACGAAGCATTTGAAGCTCTTCTCTGGTCAATTGGTCTCCATCATCACCTTTTTCTTCAGAGGAGGTGTGGTGGCTCCTTCTATCTTCCCGTTGTTTCTGTTTCCCTTGAGTTGGTTTCCCATGTAGTTTCCAGCATTCATCTCTGGTGTGGCCTCTCTTGTTACAGTGGTTGCACCACTTGTTCCCTTTCTTCTCAGGGCCCTCTGATGTCTGGAACCCCCTCGTCACCAATGCCGAGCCCTCTGCTGCGGTCAGGCTGCTTTGAGTGAGGTGTCTTCGGCTTTCTTCGAACTTAACCATACTGAAACTTCAAATAGGGATGGCAGCGGCTTCAGTCCCATAATTCTCCCTCTCACTTCTTCAAAAACATCATTCAGGCCCAACAGAAAGTCATATGTTCGTCCTCTTTCCACCAATTGTCTGTAGTAATTAGCATCATCCATATCCTTCCAAGGATGTACTTCAAAGAGGTCCAATTGCTGCCATATCTTTGTCAACGTACTGTAGTATTGAGTCACAGTTAAGTTGCCTTGTTTCAGATCTTTGAGCTGCCTCTTTAGATCTAATAAGGCTGCAGTGTTATCGAGGGTAGAGTAGGTCCGCTTAGCAGCATCCCAGATTTCCTTGGCTGTACTTGCAAGAAGGTATCCTTCACTGATTTCGAGAGTCATTGAATTGCACAACCAAGACATCACCTGATTATTTTCAGCGAACCAGGTATCAAATTTGGGATCATTATGCGAAGGTTGTGTTGCTTCTCCATTGATATACTTCTCCTTACGCTTCCCACGCAGATACATTAATACACTTTGAGACCATTGCAGATAATTGCTTCCATTAAGTTTGTGGGCTACCCCCATAGCTTGAGGTTCAGCGGCTACTGTCAGATCTGAAGAAGGAGTAACCACCGGTGAAGAAGGAGTAGCTTGAGTATTTGAAGATGTACCGGACATGAGAACCCTTGGAATATTGCGAACAGACCCAAAAAGTGGTGGGAATTCTGGGTTATCCATCTTCTGGGTCTCTGGGAGGTACTGGAGGTCTCTGGCGGGGCGCGTGGGCGGCACGCGCTGGTACAGTGGCGGGGCGTGGCGGCGCGTGGGATTCACGCGCGGAGCTTGTAACGGCGCGTGAGGGTCACGCGCAGCTCCGTTGGACGTCGGCTTCTGGGGACGCGCCGATCTGGGGACGCCGGTGAGGCCTGGAGGGGTGGTGTCGTCCACGGACCACTTCTGGTTCCAGTTTCAGGGACGTCTCACTCACTCTCTCTCTCTCTCCTCGCCGTCTCTCTCTCTCTGGCTCACGGCAGACTCTCCAGGACCCTTTCCAAGCTCACACGCTCTGATACCATGCTTAAAGAGTATTGAAAATTCACTCTTCCATATTATTTCATATGATTTGGGTACAATATATAGAGTCTCATACTACCGGTTACAATCAATCAGTAATAAATGAAAGATATTGCAATATCACAAGTAATCAGGAATTTATTGTCTAGCTAGAATCATGGGTAATTAATGGAGAGAATAAAGGGAGAGAATCAGGGAGAGAATCAAGGGCTTCTAACAAATACCTATAAATATAGTGGGCTCCCATCTCATACAAACCAGAGGAGATAAGAATCATCATCTAAAGCAATGCTTATTACCCAAGTAAAGATAAAAGCTAAAAACAGAACCCAAAAAACTGCTGTCACCAAGGAGCAGGAGCAAGCACACCAGGCACATACCCTGTCTCAAGCATTGTAGTTGGATAGAATCGTTTAAAATCCTCAGCAGACAGATCTGGCCATCCAAGGGTGCTAAAAGGCCACAGTGCACTGACCAAATATATCACACGTGATTAGTACATATAATTAAAAAGAAAAGATCAGCACATCATCAAGAAAGACTATTACTTTAACAGGGAAGAGAGGAAAAAATAGCAAAACATGCTTCCAAGAGAGATTTCATAAACTAGTGACCTGAAAACTTTTACTAGGTAACCAAAATCTGATTAACATAAAAGTATTCTCATGTATCTAATTATCTGAATAATTGTACAATCAATTCCATGCAAAGAGGAAAAGCTGAAACAAAACAATAAAAATGGAAGAGAATAACTAACTGCTGGTCTACCGAAAGACACATTAACTGCATAAATTTATCTCATGCTTATCACTGGATCTACATATACACGTCCATATATGTAAAATGCAGATGGTAAATGAATAGCCTCTTAGGAAAATGTTTCAGCAAAAATATAAACTCACAAGACAAATTTTTATTGAAGTGCAAGATACCAGGGGTTAGTGGACATTAAAAACGCATGAACACTACCAATTACACAAGATATGACAAGCTTTGTATCCATGTCACAAAACGTCTAACAGGAGTGCCAAACACCCACCAAAGATTGAAATTTTAACTGCCTGTACATAATAATTGCAATTAAAATTATATATAAACAGCGATGAATAACTCTGCTTAATGAGAAAACCTTGAAAACCAAGTGTCAAGAACGTCAGGGTCCTGATATATTTCTACATTATTCCCATATGCTTCATGAGCCTTCTCCAGTGCTTCATCAGCATTTCTAGCAACTATATATTCCTCTGCATTTTCTTTTCCAACAATGTACCAAACAGGTATCCGGTGTCCCCACCATAGTTGTCTGCTTATACACCAATCCTTAATGTTGGAAAGCCAGTGATTATAAATCTGTCATTAGCATAAAGCAGAGAGTGAAACATGAACACAGCGTGAAGTCAGATCCAACAGTATATTGACAAGTTGTACTTTGTGCCCTACAACATATTAAGTAGGAAAATACTTTCGGCTTGTACTACATTATCTACACAAAATTTAAGCATTAATAGAAATTTAAAAAGAAAAAAGTGTTGTGATCAGACTGAATTACCCTAAACTTTATTATATTATTAATTAGCTACAAATTGGTGCATCACTGCCTCACCTTCAGACAAGATATGAACCCACCATCATAAACCTTTCAATACAATTACAGTAGCAATCCATAGACCAATAATACAATATGTGTGTTTGTGTGAATAAGTAAAGCAAGAACCACGAGAGTTGGAAATTTAGAAAATTTAAGCAGGTCTGAGAATTAGCAAACAAAGTGTAGCAGTTAAAGTTCTCTAGAAAGTAAAAGAGATGTTGTGAAACTATTGAACAATCTCAATGAGTGGGGACATCTAATAGTGAATGTGTTTTACCAAACCTTCTCAAATCTTTCAGGAATTATGGTCAGCTCTCCCTTTTCAACCGCTTGAAGAGCTTTTTCAGCAAGAGGCTCCATAGTAACAAACCACTGTTTACTAACAAGTGGCTCTATAACCTGATTTAAAAAATGAAGACAAACTCTAAAGAGGAGCAAGCAAATGAAAATAAGAATACACAAGAACTATAAGAAAAGTGGAATTTATTAATATCCACACATAAAGTTATAATATAAATAAATAAACATCAACTTGAAAGGGGAAAAATCTCACTTCTCCACCACGCTGAGATCTGGGAACACGTAAAGTATGTGGCTCCTTTTTCTCAGCTAATCCTGCCTCCTCAAGCTCTGCCCATAATCTCTTTCGAGCCTCAAACCGATCAAGGCCTCTAGTATTACAGGTTGTGTTTCATATATCAGGCACAATGCCACATAATTGAAAAGGGGAAAAAGAAATTGTAGAAGATACCTGTACAAGCCAGCAACCTCATTAAGTGTCCCATCCTTGTTCATCACATTAAGTATTGGAAGACCAAGCTTTCGAGCAAGTAAGTAATCATCATGATCATGTCCAGGACTAATTTTCAGTACTCCTGTTCCAAACTCTCTAGCAACATGCTGCAGGACATAAGGGCAATAAATATTAAGCACTGACATACAGAGTTCACATCAAAGTTGTCTCCAAAAGAAATAATTGTAACAAGAGGTAGAAACCAAAAAATATTATGTCTAAAAACTTTTGTATCATGAAATAATGTACTTATGCAAAACACATAATAAACAAATAAATGACAAGGATTAGCATGAAGCAGGCAGCTTATTAAGTATAAATTTATAGGGGCAATAAGAATTTAAGAGGCCTCCATTATTTGTAATTTGAAGTTATGCTATAAAGCAACAGAGCCAAAGACAATACATATAGTACGGAGAAAAGTGGGGGGAAGTTGATAAAATTCCATCTAACAAATTGAAAAATCTCTTTTCCCATCTTTAATGAATTAATTGTTTGATCACATAAACAAATCTCAAACAGATGCCACGAGAATAAAGGATAAAACATTCTCCTTAAAAGAGTAAAAATTAAAAGCACAAAAGAGGCAGAGAAAGTAAATCAAGCCAACAAAACCTTAAGACCGCTGTGGTTTTTCATCTAAGCATGAAAACCCCTAGCATCGTCCACCGACCAAGGTAAGGCCTAGAAAACAACCCTTACGTTTAAAACTTTCAATATACTAATTCAAATAAAAGTCACCAGAGATAAACCTTGGGTTCAAGGAAGCGATTTCAAATTGTTTAGAAATTCTACAATGGGAATTTTCCAAAGACAAATTAGAATTAAAAGAATATAAACCCGTATTCAACCAATATGACAGTAATTATTTTTTGTTTTTTTAACCAGTAATAAGAATAGATTGGGATTTCCATACCTTGTCTGAAAGAATAGGAACATGACGTCCAAATGTCATAGGCACAATTGCCATCTGACCAATATACTTGGAATATCGCTCATCCTGTAATTTGGTGATTAGCATGAGATGCAGACATCAACTATAATGGAAAATGATCATTCATGGCCAAAGCTTTAATGACGTTCAAATTGCTAACAAGGTTAACGGAAGTCATATTTTGCAAGTTGGCAAGCCAAATGATACACCATCCAATCAATGGCTTACTCTATGTTTTTCCAGCTGCAAGATTATTCTTATTAAGCCTTGATCAGTTGCTTATGATATCTGGAGCAAGTTTGGGGATACTTGTCAACAATATGGTTACTAAGATTATGATGCTGTTGTCACCTGGATTGGGCGCTTGAGAATTCAAGGAGCAAGTATTGAACCAGGCATGTTATGTCTAGAGTAGCATGGTATGCTTCACTAGAAAGAATGCTTAAAATTTGAAAGCAGTGGTTTTTCTGCACCTTTACATCCATGTATAATAAGCCTTTTGGTTTCACCAGAGAATCTACTTATGGCAAATTCAGACCTGCCAGCAGGTTTTAAAAAGGAAATGCAACAACTTCTACATTAATATTTCTTTACTTCCTTTCATTCTTCCAGGATGACATCCTATCCTTAATTATTAATCTGGTGATTGATTCATATCACGTTAAACTTTATCAAAATTTAAAACACCAACAGACACATGAATCCACTTTTAGACAAAAGCTCATAAAAATGTAACCTATTACTAATGGATTAATGACTGAGTGAATTTCAATTACAATGAAACAACACAAAACATGATTATCCCTTTTTCTACCAATATGCACAAGCTCATAACACTCTCCTACCTTTGGATTCACCGCAAGAGCTACATCACCAAATAAAGTCTCTGGTCGTGTTGTAGCCACTGTCAAGAAGTCACTCCTACAACGAGAATAGTTATCAAAATATCATTTCTCCCATCAATGGAAATTGTTAAAGGTGCAGCTACATAGATAAAATAAGGTATTATTCAAGGTGTAGCGATCAAATCATCAAATTGAAATGATATGTGCTGAAAGTGGGCTCTTTCTCATTTGGGCCTAATCCTCAGATAACCCTAATTTCTTATGACCGTTTATGCTCTCTATTAGGATTATCTTCTGCCTTTTATTTAGGGATTTCAAATAAGAATATTTCCAGATTGGTTTGAGATTTGATTTGATGAATTTATTGAGATATCATGTGCAATTTCATCGCAGTCTCTCCTCCCATATGTATCAGATTTCATAATGAAATAAACACAGATTTATGAGTCCAAATGACATCATGTTATCAGAGCTATGGCTATGTCTTTCAAGAACGTAGTGATCGGACCATTAAGAGCCTTCATCGCCAGCAACAATTCTACCCAGAATCCGTTAGCGAGTGCAGGAGGCTCACCAAGCATGGCCGAATCTGGAGGGAGTTCACAATCTAGCCTCTAATTCCTCTCAAAAGATGATCATTCATCATTTAAATGGAAAAATTATCTCCCATGGTCTAGAAACATTCTAATGTTTGTACGAGGACATAACAAAGAGCACTGCCTAACATGGGACCCAAAACCTATAGAACCAGAGGATTCAAAGCACAGGACCTGGTGTGCTAAGAATAATATGGTCATGACATTGTTGATTCATTCCAGGAATACCAAAATTAGTGAGAAGGTAATTCTCACTAACTGTGCCCGAGAAATCTAGGAGTCGGCCAAACACCTTCTTTGCCAAAGACAATATGATGGTGCTTCTTCAAGTGAAATGGATGTTATGCTTAGGGGAAAAGACCGTAACCTAGTATTTTAGCACACTGATGAAGCTATCATAGGAGCTTGATTTATATGAGGTATATCATTGGGCCTGTCGTTCAAGTAGACTAAACATCAAGAAGAGAATAGAACGTGAACGTTGCTTTGATTTTTGAAGATGTCAGAGGTCACATAATGGGCATGCAACCACTCCCATCCCTTGAGGATGTCTTCAATATGGTCAAGAAAGTTGTAAAGAAATCATTTATATCACCTCTAGTATCACTTCTTCCCCATTTTCTCCTATTTCATCGACACCAGTAAAGAAAGGTTCAGCCATCGTTACATGGGGTAGCCAAGGACATGATCAAAAGGGAAGAAGTCCTGCTTGAGATGTGATTATTGCAACAAAAATGGTCATACTCAGGACACTTGCTAGAAAATTCACGGAAAATCAACACACCTAAAACAACAAACCAAGGAGATAGTAAGGGAGTGCCCACAATGAATTCTGATAATAGGACTCTAAATGTTGATGAGCTCACAATGCTTAGGCAGATTCTAAACGAATGCACTAGTAAGAGATCTACTCCATCCATAACTTTAGCCCATTGCCCCATTTAGGTACCATTCTTCTTACTGCCCTTGGCACTATTATTGGGTCCAAAAATATATGGATTGTTGATTCAGGTGCCACAGACCGTACTACTTGATTTCGAGAATTATTCTCCAAGTTTAGGCCCTATTTTGAACACACTTGAGTTCAGGTTGCAATATATGTGCTGAAGTTATGTGATCAGGAATAGTGCTGAAAAACATCCCCTATGTTCCAAAAATACCTAGTAACTCGCTGTTTGTTAAGTGCACAACCCAAGATTTAAATTGCCTTGTTATTTTTGACATATTTCACTATGATTTTCAGGACTTAACCTTGGGAAAGGTGATTGGCAAAGCTACGGAACATAATGGGTTGTACTACCTTGAATGGACCATAACAAACAAGAGATACATGGCTGTATCTATTTTTAAGTCCTAGTTCCTCTCCTATGTCTCAAGAAATGCTTATGCTATGGCATTTTAGACTTGGTCATCCTAGTTATGATTTGTTTCCAAATTCTATAAATAAAATGAATTTCCAAATTCTATGATAAAATGAATTTCCTATTTTATTACGGAACATGTCAGCTTGCCAAACACACATGTCAGCTTGCCAAACACACCTGAGCTTCTTACCCATCTCATACATATACACCAACATAAACCGTTGCCTTCACTCATACTGATGTTTGGGGTCTTTCTCGAGTTGCAACTAACTCTAAGGCCAAAAAGTTTGTGACTTTCATAGACGGTCATACTCGCTTAACATGGCTATTTTTTATGAAAGAAAAATCTAAGCCGTTTTCCATCTTGAAAAATTTCTATACTTTCGTTCAAAGTCAATTTCAAGCTAATATAGGTTTTTCACAATGATAATGGAAAGAAATTTGTTAATTCTCAATTTATAACCTTTTTTGCTGAAAAAGGCATTCACCATCAAACATCTTATGCAAATACATCCTAACAAAATAGGGTAGCTGAATGCAAAAACCAGCATCTTTTAGAAGTAACTCGATCTCTTCTACTAGGACAAAATGTACTGAATTTTTATTAGAGGGATGTAGTGCTTACTGTCACATATCTTATTGATCGCATGCAATCAAAAGTTTTAAACTTTTAGACCCCAATCCAGAAAATCTTAGAAACTTATCCTCAATCTTATCTAATTCATTCTCTCCCTACACGTGTTTTTGGTTGTACTTCATGTGTTTGATGGTGACAAGAGAAAACTTGAATTTGGATCCATATTCTTAGGCCAGTCCCCCACACAAAAAAAGGTACAAGTGTTACCCTCTAGCCACTAAGCAAGTCTATTTCACTATGAATGTCAAATTTTTTAAAACACTACCTTTCTATCCCAAATTATCCATTCAAGGGGGGAGAGGCAGTGAATGGCCAATTTGGACAGAACAATAATCTGGACAGCAAGCTAGCAACCCTATCAATGACACCCAAACATCTCTAGATGTCTTTTTTCTTGCTCCTAGCCTTCAAATCTTCGAACATATACCAGAAATGCCTTTTTCTGCATCTGAAACACCTACTCCAGCCACAGAAACCACCTCCCATGCACCTGAAATTCAGCCTGAGACATCCACCAAACCTGACTCTCCTCTTCCCAACAATGCCGAACCATTCTTGGAGCCAAAGACAAGTGAGACACAAGAAAATCAGATGGGACAGACAACCAAAAGTGAAGAACCCATTACTATTCCAAGGCAAAGTCATGAAACCAAACCTAAGATTGATCTTAAAGATCTCCAATGGCCGACAGCTCTTAGAAAAGGCAAAAGAAGCTGTACACGGTATCCAATAAGCACATATGTCTCCTATGACAAGCTCAACCCTCAATTTAAGACCTTTATTATCAATATAGATAAGGAGGAAATCCCAAGAACATTTAATGAGGCAGTAGCCAATCATGATTGGAAGCTAGAAATAAAGATGAACTAATGGCTCTAGCTAAAAATGGCACTTGGGAAATTGTTGACCTACCTCGAGGGAAATCTATTATAGGGAATAAGTAGGTGTTTACTAAGAAATACAACCCAGGTGAGAGCACCAACAAGTACAAAGCTAAACTAGTAGCAAAGGACAACCAATGACAGATGCTCCACCACTAATTACCACATATTCGCAGGGGTGTGCAATCGGATATTCGGTTTGGTTTGATCTAGAAACCGAAATAACCGATCACCGAATTAGAATATTTTTAGGCACCGAACCGAACCGAAGTTCTATCACTAACCGAATAGAAACCGAACCGAAATATCTTGGTTCGGTTCAGTTGGTTCATTCGGTTAATGCTCCTGACTTTTTCCTCTGTTTAAACCCACCATAAAATCCCAAGTGTGAGGGAGATGAATCGGTAAGCACAACCACAGTAGCAAAGACTATAGAGAAGAACAGAAGCATCAATGTGAAAATGAAATGGAGAAGAAAAATGGCGAAGAAGCAGTAAGTAGAGACACCGCAAAGAAGAAGAGCAAAAGCATCAATATATTGTTTTTAGAGAGAGAGAGAGGCGCTACTGTGACAGCAATGAAGAAGTGTGAAGGAGAGGGCAGCAATGAAGAGTAAGAGAGTGTGAGGGAGAGGGCATTCTACCTGAGATCGATGAGCAAGAAGATGATGGTATTGTTTTTTACTTTTTGAAGTTGAGAGGACGCTGGGAAGGAGGCTGCGGCTAGAGAGAATGAGAGATGATGAGCTATCTTACATTAGGTTAGGGTTTGAGATATATTGGGCTGGATTTAGAAGTATACTTTGGGCCTATTAGTTCTTTTTGATCGAATTGGGCCTATTAGTTTATTGCTAACTTAGTGTTATATTATATACCTTGGCCCAAAAAAATATACACACATATTTCGGTTTTTCGGTTTAAAACCGAATTTTTTTTTATAAACCGAACCGAAAACCGAAAACCGAAATTTAATAAAAATAAAAACCGAACCGAAACCGAACACCGAAATAACCGAACCGAAAAACCGAAAATACATTCGGTTCGGTTCGGTTATCGGTTTCGGTTCGGTTTTGCTCACCCCTACATATTCGTCTAGGGGAACTTTGTTACTAGGAAGAGCAAGAAATAGCATGTTTTGTTTAGAGCGTTGGCTCTAGGAATCTATGAAGGAATTGGGATTGTTCACCTACTATGAGAACTAGGCATGAAAGTAACTACACTAGTTTAGATGTGGTGTGACAGCATGGCAACCCTTAAGATTACAAATAATCCTATCCAACATGATCAAATGAAACATGTTGAGATTGACCGCCACTTTATCAAAGAAAAGATTAAAGCTAAGGCAGTTGATCTGGCCTACATCTCTATAGGGAAACAAGTTACTGACATGATGACCAAACCCTCGGTCAAGGCCAAATTCGAAGAACTCACAAATAAGTTGGGAATGATCAATATCTATTTGCCAACTTGACAGGAAGCGTTGAAAGTAGGCTCTTTCTCAGTTGGACTTAATCCTTAGATAATCCTAATTTCTTATGATTGTTTATGCTCTCTTTATTGGGATTATCTTTTGCCTTTTATTTAGAGATTTCAAATAAGAATATTTGCATATTTGTTTGAGATTTGATTTGATGCATTTATTGAGATATCATGTGCGATTTCATCGCACTCTCTCATCCTATATGTATCAGATTTCATAGTGAAATAAACACAAATTTATGCGTCCAAATAACATCAGTTTTTGTCTATTGAGTACCTTGAACCTCCAGCAACACGGTATTTGATATAATACAAATAACCAGACTCTTCTGAATATTCCACTTCCTAAGCACAAAGATAAGGCTCGATTTAAATATTACAGCCAAGTCAGATAAATAGTAGCACAAGTAACACTAAATTGAAAGCTACTAACCAAATCAGAAACAGCAGTCTGAAGAGCAGGAGACCAATTCACCATGTATGACCCTAAAGTTGAGAGCAAGAAGAGTAGTGTTCATATCTTACTCTCACAAATGACATCAAACATTAAATTTAACAAGGCTCAAGATTCAATAACAACTTTCAGCTGACAAGCAAAAGAACATATAACTGTAATGGTTCATGCAAAAACATATCCCTCTCATAATAATTGAAGGTTTGTATCTATATATTCTGTTGCACATATGAATGGAAATAAGTCTTTATGGCATCATACAAATGTTCATGGTATCAAAACAACCATACTCTAGCTTGGGTTTGGCCTAAACATTTAAGGCTAGGGTGATCAGAGGGTGCTGACAGCCAACACTTTTAGATCTTTCTATGACAGCCACCTTGGTCACCAAGTGCCACCAATGCCAATCTAGTTTCCATCACCATTCATCTATTGAATGGTCAAAACAACCTTCAATAGGCAGCAAGTGTATGATCAGACGTCATAGGAAAAGGGAAAATAATAATAACTCGCTCGAACAACATCAAAGCCAACCTTTAACAAAGCGTCAAGTATGCTAGTCGGGAAGATGGCAACTCTATGGTGCAAGCGTGGCTAATCAACTCAATGACTACAAAGATAAGTACACATTTTTCTCTCTTCCAATCGACATAAGAAGTATGGGAAGCAATGACAGACATGCTTGCCTCCCTCAAAAATAAAGCTGCCATTTTAAAGATAGAGAGTTTCCTCCATAATTACAGAAAATATGATCTCTGTGTTACCCAATACTACCCTAATCTAGTTGTTCAGTGGCAGCAGCTTGATTGGTACAATCCATACAAACGGAAGTGTCCTGAGGATGTAGCTCTATGCAGAAGAGAATTTTCAAATCTCTTCTTGGTTTGGATTTTGCTTTTGATGAAGGCACCGTTTGGGTGACACCCCAAACCATGGTTTGGATAATAAGTCACCCAAACACCCAAATCACCCAAACACCCACCCAATTTGCACAAGAGCCAAAACCATGGTTTTGAAAAAAGTAAAAATTTTTTGCTTTTGGAGAAAAAAGAGAGAGTGTGAGAGCCTATAGGATATGTATTTTGTTATTTTTTTTATAAACATATTTTTTTATAAACATATTTAATCTTATATTTTATAAATATATATACATATTAATTATTTATTAATTATATTATCTTATGTATTATTAATTATGTTAATAAAAAATATATTATTAACAATTTTATTCCTTCAAATTAAAATATATCATAAAATCTATTTTTTCTATAATTATCATATTAACTTTTGTCTTTTTTTAAGTAATTTGTATATATAAAAAGTGCTTCTGATAACAACTATCCAAACACTCTCACTTCTCAAAATCACTTTTTCATAAAATTTATTCTTTCCAGAATCTATTCTTCCCAAAATCTATTCTCCAGAATCACTTTTCTAAACCACGGTTTGGTTTCATCCAAACACACCTGAAGTCCAGGGAAGAATAATGAGTTTTCAAACCTTGCCTTCCTTACATGCAGTATTCTTCTCCATGCGAAATGAAGAAAGAAGAAAAAGGCTCAACTCTGGTGATCTATCTAACACTAGTGCATCACAACCTAGTGCATTGCTGTCCAAGCGACCGGCTTACAATGAAAACATAACTAAGAATAGGTTGTACAACCATTGTCAAAAACAAGTGGATATAGAAGTTTGTTAGAAGCTGCATGGAAAACCCCTTGGGAAGGATAGACAAGAAAGCCAACAGCATTTTGGCACTATTGAAGACAACTAAATCAAATTTAAACAAGAGGTGGAGATGCTCAGGAAATTGTTGGAGAAGCATGATTCCAAGGAAAAACCATTTCATCTAGGCATTAGCCCACACAAGTAAAGCAATCTTAGCTCTAAATGCTAATGTGCACCATCAAGGGTTGTGGATTGTTGATGAAAGGGTCACAGATCACATGACTAGTAATCCAAGTGTACCACAAGTATAAAGCCTTGTCATATAAATATATCTAGGCAGTTGATGGTAAATCAACAAAAGTAGAGGAAATTGGAAGAGTGAAAGACAGGTTAGCCTCCTTGCAACAAAGCAAGAAAGTTGTGGGCGTGATGTATTTCTATTTAGGGCTTCTCTCTAGGCCCAGATTTGTTATTGCCATCTTTGACTTGTCTTTCAAATACTATTATTTGCTATCTTTTGCAGTATCTTATCAATCTAGATGCCATTTATTCCTATCATTTACTTCCATGTTCATTTTGGTTTAGAACTACCGAGATTCTTGTGGTAGTCATCCCTTGGTATACCTCTTGGAGCATATCAAATCAAGACAGAAGATAGGACACTTTTTTTCCCATTGTATCTTTCTATCCCTAGTATCTCAACGTATCCCTCTCATAATGATTGAGGATTTGTATCTATGTATTCTGCTGCACATAGTAATGAAAAATGAGTCTTTACGGCATCAAACAATTGCTCAATGAGGAAGAATGGAAGACAAGTTAGCCTCCTTGAAGGAAAACCAGAAAATTGTAGGCGTGATCTATTTCTGTTTAGGGCTTCTCTCTAGGCCCAGATTTGTTATTGCCATCTTTGACTTGTCTTTCAGATATTATTATTTGTTGTTTTTTGCTGTATCTTATCAGATTTAGATACCATTTATTTCTATCATTTACTTCCATGATTTTTTGGTATAGAACTACCGACATTCTTGTGGTGGTCATCCCTATGTATACCTCTTTAAGCATATCAAATGAAGACAGAAAGTAGTGCACTCTTTTTTCCCATGGCATCAAAGCAGGTATGATGAACCAGAAAAATCATCAATAGTAGGTCCACTGTCAACACCACAAACAGGTTGTAAGACAAATTATGTCCCATAGTGGGTTAATTAGCGAAGAACTAACTATGAAACAAACACTTCAAACGAGCAAATCCACGTCCAGATCATGTAAACATGATGTAATGTTTTGAATTAAAAGACTTCCCGACAAAATACAAGCAATCAGGAAGAAACAAAGCAGCATAAGCATAAAACATAATTCAGGTTATACCTTGGTAAATCAAACCTTTCTCATGAAGCCTGACAAATGCCTCAATAACAGCTCCTGCAGAAATGGTAGGGCAAGGTTATCACCAAAAAAAAAAAAAAAAATTGGTAGGGCAAGGTATCACTAAATGTAACAGCCAAGGCAAATAATATGATAGTACGTTTTCAAAATTTAGATGGTGAGACAGATTAAGATGCGTGGAATAGACAGTAAAATAAAGTGGATAAATTAGAAAGGACTATCAAAGTGCACCAGAATTATTTACTACATATTTCAATCACCCATACAACCCTTCAAAACAGCTATATAACCTCATAGATTAGTTAGAGTTCCAATTGGTTGAGAACTGCCTTACGACTTAGCTGTTCATCTAGGGTGAAGTGTTCTCTAGTCCAGTCACAAGAAGCACCAAGTCTCTTGATCTGATTTGTGATGGTTCCCCCATACCTGATGATGTGCGAAAAATTAAATGAAACTTATGATAAGGCAAGGGAAACAGGTTGATGATAACTTACGGAACAAAGGGCAAAGTAAAATCACAAAATGAAAATTATCATTTCTTAATAGTGAATAAATTTGAGGAATTATAAATAGTGGGAAACATTAATCCATCTTAATCAGGTGCTCCAAATGTTAAGCTAGACACACCATTCAATTATATTTTCATAATTAACCCACATCATATGTGCAACATTCAAAATGAAAAAGCTAATGTAAAACCGGATCCATCAAAAAAAAACAAGAACAAATGGACGGGACAAAGAACACTTTGCCAAAGAAGGACTTAGCTCTTCAGCCTTGAGCAGAAGGACTCATTTAAAATCACCCGAGCAAAAATGCACGTTTTGCCTAGCTTTCTAATCCAGGATTGATCAAGATCACGTGATCCCACAAACTGGATCTTCATTCCTTGCAGTTTTTTTACAAGATCAGACCAGATCTGGGGGCAGAAGATCAATATCTTGATCATCCCAAATCATTTCAACACAAAAATATAAAGTCATGAAGTGAAGAACTATGATAAAATTAACTACAATCTCTAACATGTGCACAGCACCTCACACAAAAGCCCTTTGGGCTTGAAGAGTTTGAGTTCATCATGACAAATGGAAGGCGTTTACTTATATCTACTCAATTGATATTATTTCTGTGAAAATTGAAGCTGCATGCCAGACGCATCAGGTTACCTTTGTCACAAATCATTCCCCAATAAAAGTTTTTGAATTCAAGTTTCTAATAGCAAATAGGTCCATTAAGCAAATAAGACAAGACTTCATGTAAGACAGCCAACAACGATGCCTGTGCATCCTTAACAAGGTAGATGTAAAACTAAATTTTGAGATAAGACATACTTCTCTTTCCACTGCCAAACTCGGTATGTGAATTCCTCTCTACTCAATTCAGTCCTTTTTATTCCTTCAGATGCAAGCATTCTTTCAACAACCAACTGGAAAGAGCATAATAAAATTCATCACAGGAATAATTATAGCTTCAGCTAAAGACAAAATAATGAGGACACAATGCAATGATTACCTAATGCCACAAACTAATGTAAAGCCTAAGGCAGATCAACCAACTAATTGAATGACATTATTTCCAAGGTAACGTCTGCAAGAAAGATAAGAGAAAAAACAATGAAGAATAGACACTCCTTTTTGTTGCACATTTAAGTATTTAAGTAATAGCTAAATAACAGCTCCTCCCATATTAGTACAGAAAACCAATGTTCATTAAATATTTCTGTCGATTATAACAGAATTGAAGGTTGGGAGAGACGATATGGAATAATTCATCATATTATTGATGAGAAACCCAGCAGTTAAATAGGCTACTAAGTGCTATCTTCTACAATCAGAGGTAATAAAATATATTTAAGACTAATAAATACAGGCAGGAATCATATCCTCCAAGATGTGTCCGTGATATTAGGAACCATAAAGAGGAGAGATTTTAGCAACGATCAACACAGAGATATTAGGGCTGAGATTTCGAACACTCCCCCTCAAGCTGGAAAATAAATGTCAAGCATTCCCAGCTTGCTTCAAAGTCCTTCAAATTGTGTTCTAGCCAGAGGCTTTGTCATAATGTCTGCGATTTGTTCAAACTGTGGGTAAACTCATATACCTAACCCACATACACCTAGACATTAGCTATGCTGTAGGGGTAGTGAGTCAATTCATGCACCAACCCCAAGAGGAACACACAGAAGCAGAATACAGGATTCTAAGGTACTTGAAACTGAATCCAGGAAAAGGAATCTTTTTTGGGGATAACAGAACAAGGGGAATAGAAATCTTCACTAATGCAGATCATGGGAGATCAGTGGAGAACAGGCGATGAACAACAGGGTACTACACCTACGTGTGGGGAGACTTGGTTACTTGGAGAAGCAAGAAACAGAACGTTGTATGCACAAGTAGTATAGAAGCAGAATTAGAGTAGTAGCTTTAGGAGTCTGTGAAGGAATCTAGATAATTAGACCTCTAAAGGAATTGAAGATCAAACATGAGGGACCTCTACAACTATAGTGTGGCAATCAGTCCAGTATCGAGATGACCAAGAATCTAGTCTACCAAGTTTGGTTTGATTTCCAGATTGCAAGTAGTTTCCATTGGAATCTCATCTAATTTAGTTCCAAGAAGTCCTATTTCTTGTAGGAGGTCTAAAGTGTATTTATGTTGGGATACATTGATTCCTTCCTTATTTCCGGCAATCTCCATCCCAAGAAAATACCTCATCTGGCCTAGGTCTTTTACTTGGAATTTTGAAGCTAGTTCTTTCTTTAATTGGGCTATAGCCTTCTCATCATCTCCAGTAATCACAATGTCATCAACATACACCAAGAGAATAGTGACCTTGTTGTTGTGTCAAGTGAACACAGTGTGATCTGCCTGTCCTTGTGTATAACCATCCTTCTTTAGTGCCTTTGCAAATTTGTCAAGCCAAGCCCTAGGAGACTGTTTGAGTCCATATAGGAACTTTCTCAGTTTGCAAACTTGAGTAGCATTTTCTGCTCTTCAAACACCATCAGGAATTTCCATATAGACTTCCTGAGTCCTCATTTAAGAACGTGTTCTTCACATCTAGTTGGTGTAGGGGCCAATCAAGGTTGGCTGCTACAGAGAGTAGCACATTAATAGTATAGAACTTGGCCACTGGCGTGAAGGTTTCTTGATAGTCTATTCCATGTGTTTGGGTGTACCCTTATGCTACCAGCCTTGCTTTATATTTGTTCAAGCTTCCATCTAGATTGAACTTTGGAGTGAAGACCCACTTATAGCCTACCACCTTCTTTCCTTGTGGCAAAGTAGTGATATCCCAAGTTCTATTTTCCCCTAGTGCTTTCAGCTCCTCCTCTACCGCCTTTCTCCAGTTTGAGTCTGAAATGGCTTGCTGTCGAGTATTTTTATCTGTTAACTATTTATCACAAAGCTTTGCATTCTAGAGGATAAGTTACCATAAGACACAAATTTTTGTACAGGGTATTGAGTACAAGATCTTTTCCCTTTTTAGAGAGCAATAGGCCAACCTAGATCTTCTGAACCTGTCATAGGATTGGAATCATGGTTGCACCTTAAAGTAGGAGAGACTATCATCATCATTTCCTTATTCATTGTTTCTAGTACTTAGTTCCGTGTTCTCATGGATCTGATTATTAGTTGCAAGTCTGTTTGAGTGACTTCGTGGTGTTGCTGGATCATTTTTTGAAGTTTCAAGTCTGGTGTGTGTATTTTCTGAGAATCCAGGTGCTGTTTCAGTGTTTTCAATTTCAGGTGTGATTTGAGTTTCTGTTTCAGGTGTAATGGGGATATTTTCTATGTTTTCTATTGTGTTGGGGACGTTTTCTGCTTGTTCAGTTCTAGTGACTGTTTTTAAGTCTTTTAGTATAAGGGACCTCCTGAATTAGCCATTCTTCAACCCATAATTCTCTCCTTGAATGGGTAATTTAGGATAATATGCTTTTTCCTCATAAAATACTACATCTTTAGAGACAGAGGTTCTTAGTGACTGGACAGTAAAATTTATATCCTTTTTGGGTGGTTGGATATTCTAGAAAAATGCATTTTTCTGCTTTTGAATCAAGTTTTCCTCCATTATTGTTGTAGACAAATGCCACACATCCAAAAACCTTTTGAGGTAAGTTGCTGATGAGGGGAACATGGGTGTAGATTTCAAGAAACTTTTGAATAGCAGATGTGGAGTTGAGTGTTTTAGAAGGTATCCGATTGATGAGATGAGTTGCAGTGAGTATTGCTTCTCCCCAGAAGAAGCTTGGGACATTCCTCCCCAATAAGAGGGCTTAGGTGACCTCAAGTAAATGCCTATTCTTTCTTTTGGCTACTCCATTCTGTTGGGAAGTGTCAATGCAAGAGGTTTGATAATGTATTCCTTGCTGTTCTAAGTATTCTGTGAATTGTTTGCTTATGTATTCTCGTGCATTATCACTTCTAAGGACTTTTATTGAGGTTTGAAATTGACTCTTAATAAGTATAGGGAACCTTTTGAAAGTGTCATGAATTTCAAATTTTTCTCTAAGTAAATATACTCATGTTACCCTTGTGTGATCATCAATGAAGGTGACAAATCATCTTCTATTAGAAAGAGTTTTGATTTTTGCTAGTCCCCTATGTCAAGTGAATCATAGTGAAAGGAGAAGTACGTTTGTAAGAGTGTTGAGGATAAGTGGCTTTTGTTTGTTTAGCAAATTGGCATGTATCACATAGGAAATGAGAGGAATTTTTATTAAATAAATTGGGAAACATGAGCTTCGTGTGGATGAAACTAGGATGGCCCAATCTTTGGTGCCATAGCACTACAACTTTATTTTGGGAGTCTGAGCTAACTAAGGCTTTATTTGTCTATCTCTTTGTTCCTTTAAAGTAGGAGAGTCTGTCCCATTCCTTAGCGATGCCAATCTTCCTTCTCGAGGTCATTTCCTGAATCACACATCTATTATCAACAAAAAAAAAAAAACACTTGACATTTCTATCCCTCAGTCAGTTTAGTGACAAAAACTAGGTTGTAAGCTCGCTCAGACACATATAACATGTTATGAATTATTAGGTGAGGTGATAGTTGAATTGTACCTACCCCCCTTACTGGAGTGAAATGCCGTTTGCTACTTTAACTTTGAGATCTTCATAACAGTGTTTAATAGATGAAAATAATTCTTTATTACCAGTCATATGGTCAGTAGCACAAGAATCAATAATCCAAACATCATTACCAGTTTCCACAATATTAAGAGCAGTAATAGAATTACTTGACTTCACCAAATTTACATTTGGTGTGCTCATTTGCTTCTCAAGCTATTTGCATAGGAGTTGGAGTTCTTCCTTGCTTAGATTGTCTCCACTCTCTTCTCGGCTTTCCACATGATATCCCTTGCCACTTGCTTTCTGTTTATTTCTTTGGTTAGGGGGTTTTCCATGCAGCTTCCAGCATATGTCTCTAGTGTGTCTCTTTTTATTACAGTAGTCATGCCACTTGTCACTCTTCTTGCTAGTTGTTTCTACGGGATTAGGTCCCTTAGCAACTAAGGCCAACATTTCATCTTGAGTTAGGACTCCTTTGGTGAGTTGCTTTCGGCTTTCCTCACATTTTATCATGTTGAAGGTTTCAGAGAGAGATAGAAGGGATTTAATCCCCATAACTCTACCTCTTCTTCAAATTCCTCAGTCAGTCATACGAGCAACACATACATTCTCTCCTTTACCAATTATCCATAGTACTGTGCATCTTCTACACACTTACAAGTGTATACTTCAAAGAGATCTAATTGCTGCCAAATACAAATAAGTGAGCTATAAAATTGCATAACAGACATTTTACCTTGTTTCAACTCATTGAGTTGTTTCTTTAACTGGAATAATGCTACTGTGTTATCCGTGGAACAGTAAGTGCTTTTTGCAGCATCCCAGATTTCCTTAGCAGTTCTTGCAAAGAGGTAACCTTCACTGATTTCAAGGGTGATTGAATTGCACAGCATCGACATCACCTAATTGTTTTCTACAAACCAAGTGTCCAAAGTAGGATCATTCGGGAGTGGTTGGTTTGCTTCACCATTGACGTATTTTTCCTTTAGCCTCCCCCTTAGGTACATCAGCACACTTTGGGACCACCTAAGGTAATTGCTGCCACTTAATTTATGCGTAATTACCATGTTTTGAGTCTCCGATGCTGGGTTGAGCTTTGGTGCCATGGTCGACACTAATCCTGGGCCAGTCAACAAACTCAGGGTCGAGGATGTAGCACCTGTAGTGTTTGACTAGGTTATGGGAGATGATCCTGTGATCAATGCTATCGACCCATTCCATGGGTTTTGTCGCATCAAGCCAAACAGGGGTGGAAATTCATCAAAATTCATTTTGAATTACCACAGCTCTGATACCATGTCGATTATAATAGAATTGAAGGTTGGGAGAGAAGATCCTGAATAATTCATTG